GTATAATTTGCAGTTGAATATTCAAGTCAGCAAATGCAAGGAACATTATATTGATTGTTACAATGATAAAACTTTTGACATAACAAACTTATGTGATAACAAAAAAATAATAACTTACTTTTTTAAAGTAGGATATGTAAACCAAAAAGTGACGTGCATTTTAAATGTAAGTCATAAATAAATTCATGCATATGTCGACTAATCAATAACATGATAGAAATAAAACCGTTTTGCCTTACACTAGCGAAATTACTTTTATCTTCAAATTTGGTTTTTGATTGTTGTTGAAGAATTTTAACCTCTCATGTATTATATGATTTTCTCCATGTTGCAATAACCTTGAAACGCTTTTGATAACAACTTTTATTCATTTGTAATTTAATGTAAAAGCACTAAACATTGCAATGTCATAATTTTCTAGTAGACTAAGTAATATAGCTGCTATTTTCTGCTCATTTTTGAGAATATTGGTGCCAGTAGCAGCCATGTATAAATCAAACCTCTGACCCCACATGCTTTCAACAGGTTACCGGTAACCGTTAGCTCAGGCCGCCCGGTGAGTCAGGCGGTGTTTTAAATTATTGAATATTTGGTACAAGTGTAGGTGTCATGTTAATTTATTCCCTATCACTTAATATAATACTAAATAAACTAATTTAACGCTGACTTGAAAGTTGAAGCAATGCACAGGTTTTTTTTTGGATTAACTACTTGCATCCTATAGTTTTCGGTTTAATTAATTTTAAAGTTCGTCACCTGACTCCATGTTACGTCTTAAGTTTTTTTACTTTAACACGAATTTAACAAAACAATTAATTAAGTATAACGTAGTTAGGTTTATTTAATGTATTAAATAACTGTAAGGCAAAAATAATTATTTTGAAATGCATGATCACAGTTCGTAGCAGAGCACAATACCACACACTACTAAATATATTAATAATATCACAGCTCATAATCAAAACCGGTGTTGCAGACATGCCATACCTTTAAACGCTTTTAAAAGTTGTTATCGATATGGAAATCATATAAAGTATGTTTTTATATGCTGTTATCAGGGCGAATACATTTTTAAAAACATTACATACAGCTCTGACAATTTGTTACCTATGCTTTACTCGCCTGTGGAAAAGTATTGGGAACAATCGATCAAATGGCAACTGGTCGTCTACAACGAACTAAACAATGTTATTTTGGTGCTTCAGTGTCATAACGAATTCATCACTTTCAGAAGACGGAATCCAAAATAAATATTTCTGTATGTATATAATCGCACCTATCTACTACACAATAATATTTATGATATTTTGTATTTTGATCTATCAGTAAAGATTTGCACGTCAATTATCTTAAAATATACAACATTACTTATTTTTGCCAATTTTAAAAATTTACAAAATTACTCACGATTGTATATTAGTATTAACACAAATCAGTGTAAAAATAAATGTCAGAGAAAACTGTTTATTGATTAGGAGAAATATATTTGTGTTTTTCAATCTATCAATTACAATTGTTGTAGACATTTATACGTATATTTACAAACGATTATATACATATATAAATTATAATATATATATATTTATTTATTTATTACATAATAAGTATATATGACCAACATTCGCCGAATTTGTTTTTCCTTTTGAAATATTTCTGATACAACGTGGCCTATATTCCTAATAGTTTGCATAACTATTTTTCCTTTTCACAACTGCGTTTTTTTTCTATATACAGTGAAACCTCAAGACAATATCATTAAGCCGTTCCCACAGAAATGGGAGACATTTTCGTTTTTTTATTGTGGTTTTAGGATATATGGTCTGAAAAATACACCAACGGTAGACCTAGTGTGTGTAAAACCTTTATTTTTTGGAAAAAAAAACTAGAAATTAAGTATAATAAAATTATTTAATTGTTATTATAGTTAAGTAAATAAGTAGATATTTTAGCGTCTTATTATCTAATAAACCCTCTGAAATTCTAGCTGATTTTTTTATTTAACATTTATTAAATCATTTATTTTTAGTTTTTACTATTTTACTAGTTTTACTACGGTAATTAATGTTACTCTTTTGTATATTATATTTTATTATATACACAGCAAAAGAAAATTTAATTATTATTAGTATTAATATTTTAATGTGTTGAAATTTTCATGGAATGAAATATCATGTGGATGATTTTCAGATTTACATCAGTGACATGGATAAATAATAAAATTAAAACAGTTACCTTTGTATTTCATTAACTTTTTTATAGACTACAAATACATACAAGTTAATAATCTTTACTCATACCTTTTAGCTACGTGGTGCTTCTATTAAGGACGGCGAGTCTTAAACATTAATACATATAAATAAAAGGATATAGTGGAATCAGGGTTGTGTGAGGGTAAAATGTGTAGATAGTTTGTTTTCTCCTCGTTCCGCTTTATTGTATTGATTTTTTTCTTAAATATTTGAATTAACTTCAGTTAAATTTTTATTTTTTCCTATATTAAACTGTACTGATTACTTTATTGATTTACTGGCATCATTACATTTTCATTTAAATGAAATTATGGAAAAAGTATTTATGAATGTAACGGCGCTTTGGATAGACAATTTCACTACACATTTGGGTTTTAGCGTCATCTTAAGAGGGCGTCGCACCGCCCATTTTTAAGGAGTAAAATATAGGTAATTTTTTACAAAATCCTAATTTAAAGGTTAAACTGTGATGTTTAATTATTAGTTTAATAACTACGACTCTATTTTGGTAGTTATCTTATTTTTTTGGACTATCACAGCATCGTTGAAAGCGATTTAAAAATGTTTTTTCATCTCTATATGTTTAAGCAGACTGAAAATAACTCGCTTAATTATGGTTTTAGAGTAAAAGCGCCCATTATAATATTCCGGAGGGCAAGACGCATCGTTTTTTTCATTATTCCAAGAATAACTCTTAATACGTAGTTTAGAAATAACGACTATTTTAAAAATTTTAAATGACTGTAACTTTTCAAAAAATGCATTTTTTTTAAAAAAACGCACCGTTTTGCCCTCCGGAATATTGTTTTCTTTTAATTTTATAATGGGTGCTCTTACTCTAAAACTAAAATTAAGCGAGTTATTTTCAGTTGGCGTAAACATGTTTTTACCACTGAAAATCACCGGTGTGACGCCCTCCTAATATTTTAGTCCATACGGGTTTAAGATAAAGGTAAGTAAATAATTTTTATTGGTATAAAAAGTAACAAATACACAGTTACAGCCAAGTTATTGTCTATTACCTAGCAAACCTTTTAAGTTATACATCATTTTAACATTACTTTAAGTAAGTTTACTACAATATGTTATATTTTATCTTTTTGTATATTATATTTTGTTATACACACAAAAAAAAATGTATTTTTCTGGAGTTTTAATATTATTTTCTACTGTCTCAATAAATTATGATATAAAATTGTGCTTTTGTGCTAACTATATTGTTTCAAATAAAAGCTTTTAGAAAATTCGTGTTATTCAATGTCTGTTTAATGTGTGTTAGTATAAAATATTTTAATAATAAATAATAAATTTATACACTAAATTTCTTCAGATCATATACCGCTTTAATATGGGTGTATTATATAGGTAAATATGGCTATTGTTTTTCTATTCCGAATTAGCCAAGTTTGGATTAAGTCTACAGTGAAATATTTCAACTTTTTTTTTATGTAAGGCATTATCTATAATTAACATGTTATCGTTTCAATGGATCATTATTTGGGACAGAATTTTAAAATTAATTATTTCACATTTTTTAATTAATAGAACTTTTAATTTATCACTTTATCTCAAATATACTCCAGTAGTTTGTTCACACAAGTTGCAATTAAATATTATTATATAATACTAAAAACTTTTAATTAAGGTATAACTCATTGTTTAAGTAGGTCAAACTTGCCATTCTAATTCGAATTAAATTTATCATAAGACCTTAAACCAGTAATTATTGTCATCTAACAATTACTTATTTCCATTATGTGACCTAGCATATACATTATTGGAATAAAAAATACTTCAATTAGTTATTATTACCATCGACCACCTATAAATAAATTAAGAGTATTTTGTATACAAGTAGTATAGAGATAGTCGTCTATATGGTATTAAGATTCAATAATAGAATAATCATTAAGTTTTTAAGTTGTGTTTTTGTAAAAAAATAACAATGATGTGGAAAATATTATTCTCCATCATGGTTCTTGTTCCGCTGACCAAGCCATTGTCTCGAAGTCCTATTCATACAAATTTGGTAAACCAAACGGTAATAAAAATGATTTGTGTATAAGCGTTTAATTGTGATGAAATAAAATTGGTTGTAGTTCTACTCATACTCAGTTAAATTTGTTAAAGTCATTGAAATTTCTTATTTTTGCGTTTTAGGCAATAATGTTGACAAAATATTATAATAATCAACATTTTGCATTGTTATTAAGTACAATTCAATCTAATATATTATGCAAGTTTCGTAGTAAAACCATAATTTCCATAATATTACTAATAAAAATAGTAAAGTGAAGATTTTGTTTATTTTTCAAGGTACTCGGAATGCATCATAAAACAAATATTTTTTTGTTTAATAATTTTATTAACTCTTTCATCTAAATACATTTGTTTTACAAATAAGTTTAGAACAAAATCATTTAAAAAATATTGAATTATTTAATAATATTACCTAAAATGCATTTGTATGTTAAATGAAGGACTACTAGTCGAATTGACTTACAATTTTACTCAAAAACCTATGTCGAAATCAACAATGACTTTGACTAAAGCCCTTATTTTGACTTACAAAGTAAGCCGCTTATTATTAATTATATAATTTGTCATATAAGATAATGACAGACATAAAAAATACTCATTGTTGGAAGACCGAAACTTGTTCAGCTCCGCATCTAAGTTAATATACATAATATAATAGGTTTGTTCAATATTTCTTTACAGAATACCAATTTATTGAACAAAATAGGAATGATGGGTGACAAATTGATATTTGAGATCAATAACATCAGGAATAAACTTCCAGCATTATTGTTGGATCGGTCTTCAAAACCGGCAACATTCAGCAATCTACATTCATGTCCAGTTTGCAGTAAGAATTTCATGTAATCGTTATCTATTAGTTTTAAACACGACTGAAAACACTAGTTACCTTAATATCAACTAAAATGAAGAACAAATTTGAAAGATGTTTTTCTTGTTGCTTTTTCATTTTGTAGGGAGAATAAAAAACTGTGTTATAATTGTATACCATGTAATAACTTAAATACCTATCTATAACTTAATTAGATAAATACTATGTCAATCACTTTTCACACAGTTTATACCATTAGTTGCATTAAACAAATACTAAACACCCTGTGTAGAAATTGTAAATATGCATTTTAGGCAAGAGTTTTTTTAAGAAATTCATGTCTTTATACATTAGTTAATTCTCAAACAATTAATTTAAAAAATAAAATAATACTAAAACCATGGTAAGTATTTAAAAAAAAAAATTGGAAATCTGTTCACAAATTTGGTGATCTCGCGGTAAACTGGAAATATATAAGGCGTTTACCTACCATTCGTCTTTGTTTTGGTGTAGTGTTTTATATACACATATTATAAGGTTTATATATTATACATGACAATACACTTAAAGTTGCTTGAATTTTTAGAATGTGGAACTGAAGGTAAGAAGGGAAAAATAGTGGGAGGAACACAAGTTCAGTATGCGCATAAATATCCTTGGATGGCTTCTGTAACTGCTCTCGCGGTTGATACCAACGATCGGCTATGTGGCGCTGCTTTAATCAATGATAGATATGTTGTGACTGCAGCTCATTGTATAAAGTAATGTGTAGTTTTGATTATATCATTACTGCTAGTCGTTTTATCGCAATACCTAGTTAGTTAAAACGTTTGCGACTTGTTGTACATCACTGACTAAACTGTTTTGGTTGTTTAGTCCGAAGTACTTATCTTTAATGAAAGTGCGGCTTTATGAACACGACCTCGAAAACAACAAGGACAACGTTTATCAATACAAAGTAAGGAGAATAATAATACACGAAAAATATGATATAATAAAAGATGATAGCGATATTGCCTTACTTCGTCTTGATGTTGACGGAGGTGTACCAATGAGCGAAAACCTTCTTCCCGTTTGTATGCCGAAAGAAGGTATATTTAGTTTGTTTTTTTTAATAGTTTAGTTTTTCAACTAATATATCTATGTCGTATACTTAGGACTCACCTACAAAAACCAACTAGGTGTGGCCACAGGTTGGGGAACGCTAAAACGCCACGGTGATAGACCTATGGTCTTGCAGGAAGTCACCATTCCAATTTTGGACCATGCCAGTTGTGTAGCGAGAAACACATGGATAACCGAAAACATGTTATGCGCTGGAGTACCAGAAGGGGGAAAAGATACGTGTCAAGTAAGTACTACCGCATAACTCGTGTAAATAGTTTTTTTAACTGAAAATACATGAAACTGTCGGGGTTGTATAGACTAGATAAAGTACATTTTAATTGAAAAGATCACTGGCATTGTCGAAATATAATAATTTAAAATTGTATAACTATGTAGGGCGATAGTGGCGGCCCATTGACCGTTACGAACGGTACAGTTCATCGCCTGGTCGGTAAGCATGTACATTTTTTAATTTTTTTAATACATTATTGAAATGGTTACTTTAAATAATACAGAGTAAAATCCATCGATCCTTTTAGGTATCACGTCATGGGGAGTTGAATGTGCTAAACCAAATACCCCTGGGGTATATGTTAAAGTGAACAATTACTTAGAATGGATTAAACAAAACACATTAGACGCTTGTTGGTGTGACGAAATGTAGACGGAAGAGTAGTTTAAATGTTAAATTGTGAGTTTTAGAACAGCCATGCTATCAATGAAAATCGATTGCAACGGTTATGATTAGATAAATATATATTTGTTCAAATTATTTGCATAATGTTATTTATTTGTTGAATAAATGGTTTTGCATTACACCTTACGTTTTTTGGTTTAAAACCAATTTTATATAGACTATATGGATTCTTCCATATCTCCTACCCCTATCTCCTACCTCCTATCTCACCCCCTATCTCCCACCCCTATCTCCTACCCCCAACCCCATCTCGTGTGGTAACGCTTTTTTATTAACGATTTTTTGGTAACACTTTTTTCGGTTATGTGCCAGAGCTAAGACATGAAAATGTCAAAAAAATCACTCTGTGTAGTATTAATACATAAACAAATGGGTTCAGTGAATTAGAAGATATCGTGGATACAGAAACAGAAAGAAATAACAGAAATAGTTCAGCATTTGCTTTATTTTACCACTCTGTATTTTACAACTTAAATAAATATAAGCGATTGCTTATGAGTACATGAGAGAAAACTTAATAAACTTAAACTAGTGTAGATAAGAAGTAATTTAAACACAACGATTCTGTTTTAAGCATTTTTGTTGATTTTTTTTCTAAATTTCTTCGGAATATATGGCTTGTAAATAGTGTCGCAAGGGCATGCGTCGGCCGTGTTGTCTTTTATCCATTTCAAAATTCGGTTGACTCTAACGTAAACACCTGGACTGAACGTACGAGCACAACCCCAGCCCCAGGATACAACTCCTATAATATACAGAACATAGATAATCGACACACAGTGCATTTTGTTGTAAAAACACAATAGATTGCTTAACTTAAGGATGGCGATTAGGAAGTGTGGCAAAATATAATTATTATGAATAGTGAGTGAATACCGACACTTACCGGCAAGGTGATATGATGAGCCATTGGCCACGTGCATTGGACCGCCGCTGTCACCCTGTGCATATATACACATTATTTAAAATTATTATTAACGAAAAACAACATGCTAAGAACGTATATTAAATATTAACAACAGCCAACACATAAGACTCTATTTAGGGGGGAGGGGATTCCAGTATATCATTTACTTGGCACGTATCCTTTTTCCCCTCTTTGAGTCCGGCGCAGATCATGTTGTCTGTGATTTCACTATCTCGGCCAATCCAAGATCTACAAACTTCGTTGCTTAAGATCGGAATTTTAACTTCATGCAGGATATTCTCGTTTTTATTATAATTATATTCATTGGTTTGTCCCCATCCCGCGATTACAGCTGTGTAGCCAACAAAGTCGAGCCCTATAAAGACAATATGTAAAATGCTGTAGAACACAGATAAATAATTTCAATTGATACCTAATTGTAGTAAGATACCAACTGGAAAGGCGGAACATTGTTTCGGTTTGGAATGAAATCATGGAAAAGTATGAGATAAATATTGTAAATTGTATTATATGGAAATGGAGTCTTAACATTGGTGAATAAAAAATACAAAATGTTTTACATATTCTGAGTAGAAAATGTTCAGTTATGTCAATCATTCAGGTAAATTCAGTATTTTTGTATCAGCTAAGCAAAAAAAATTAAAGAATTAAAGTATTAGAATAATGTGTACTTGAATAAGTTAAAGGAGCAACATCTATGTACTTTGTAACTTAATATTTGGAAGAACACAACCATAAATACGGTGTACGGAAGTGTGTTGGACATTGAATAAGAGCGGCGAGATAAAAATAGCTGAAAATGGATGCGCGGAGTGACTATGTTTAATATAATTACCTAGTGTTTAAGGATATATAAGAGATAATTCGGGTGTTACCGTAGCATAAAAAAAATGGTAAGCGAAATTAAGATAAAGAGATTTAGAGATAGAAGTTTTTGGAAGATTTGACTAGTTTATTCTATAGGATAAAGCTAAAATGAGGATATAATATTACCATGAAAAAGGCATTGACTATATTTTTAAAAGTTACCTTTAGCTGGCATGCATACCGGGTGTACTCCTTTACTATAAACCTCACTGTCATTGACATGCAGCTGAAGCAGAGCCACGTCGAATTCTTTGGTTCCTTGATCGTATTCTTTGTGAAGCACGATTTTCTTCACTTTATATTCTTTGTACGCATTTTTGGATCGATCGTGCTCAATAAGTCGAACGTGATAAAGATTGGGAGATAGGTAGCTGAAAAATATGTAGTTACTCACATGAAAAACTCCCATTCTCGTTTAAAGTAGACCATACGAAATAACTTTTTTGATAAAAAAAAATAAGTTCCATGACAGATGGAAAAATAAGTATTAGGTAAGTAGTATTATATTAGGTACGGATTGAGATAGTGGATGAATGAACCGAACAATGGCTTGAGAACAAGTAGTTCTAAAAACTAAATGCTTCGAATTAGAGTTTATTAATAAGGAGGTTATAAAAGAGGTAGAGTACCAATTAAAATTGGGGTGCAAGTGCCAAGCAGTAAATTAAGTTTATATCTGGGATCAGTTTAGTGTTCACAGTTTTGCAAAAAAAATTGTAAATTTAAAAAAGATGTGATTAGTTGAGTGGTTGGATGAGGTGAAAAAAGGTAGTTAACATGGATAACGTGTGACAGAAATGACATGCCATTTAAAGTTTAATTTTCAGAAAACGATAATGAGACCAGCTATGATGTATAAAAGTGAGTGTTGGATGAGAAAACGTAAGAAAAATAGAAGTGACTGAAATTAAAATGTCCAGATGGACGAAACAGATTGAAAAGGTTTGGGTATATGACATATAAATAGAAGGCAAATAGAATGATTTATAGGTAGATACAGACGAAGGAAGAAATGGCTGGGTGTGGCAAATAAAGAGACGGAGTTATATAAGGTGAATTAAGTAATGACAATAGATAAAGATTTCTGGAGGGAGCAGATTTAGCTAGACGACTCTATTTGTATGAGATAAATGAATTTTACTGAAGGACGCAGTGAGCGGCAGTCAATACATATTTGTTATTGATCAGAGAGGCGCCACATATGTAATCCTTTTTTAATCTGATAGATGCCATCCAAGGAAATTTGTTGGCATACGCGTGGGTCCCTCCTACTATTCTCATTTTTTTACCAAGAGCTCCGCAAACTGAAAATTATTAAACACGAGCTTTACTAGTAAACTTATTTTAGCAAATATGGTTTTACAAAACAATATTCTTATTTCCCAATATAATAAATAATAAAGCTATTCTTGTTCCTAAATAGAAATCATGCAAACAATTGAAAAAGCAATAAATACCTTTCGAAATCGCAGTTAATGTATTAATGATTTGAAATTTTGTTTAATGGGGTCTTAGCAGTTTGTACGGTTATACCTACTTCAATAAAAAAACAAATAACTTTTGATAACAGATTTTTGAAATAGTTTAATGTTTTCTGGGTACATGGTTACAATTATATTATATCTTATTTGTAAGCATTAGGATGGTTCTTATTTGCACGATTTCCGAATTTCAATTGTGCCGCCCTCATTTGATTGAAAAAAAAAATAATAATAAAAAATGTTAAGCCAACTTTGAACTTTTTAATCCGATCCTAATCATTCCCTGTAACGAGAAGTTTTCCGTTTTAAATACTGCAGTTTCCCTATTTTAACTTAATTATTGTATTACAACGGCAAATTGTTAACGAAAAAAATGTAATTTACATGAAATTGTCGAAGATCAGCGTTACTATTAAGCATGAATTAATAAATTATCTTAATTCGTGCTTTTAGGTAAAAAAAAATGTTAGCTTCTGCTTAGTACCGTGTAGTTCAATAATAGCAAAGAATGAGGATCAAAATCAATACCTGATACAGATTGTGTCGGAATTCCGGAAGGTATTTCCTGATACCAAAAAAGAAACGATTATGGAGAATTTTTAAAGTAAGCACTCAATAAATTACTTCAATTACTTTCAATTACTTTATAATTCTACTAATAATTTACCGTGCTAGTATTTTTATTCTTCAATTTTTTTGTTACTAATTTAGTTCAGAGTTTTAGATATGAATATAATAAAATATATATACATTTATAATTTTTGTCTGTAAATGAATCATAAAAAATAATTTTTTTTTTTTAAATAAAATGGAACGGTTTTTAAAGTTATACTAAACAACCTAAACAATAGCACTAATGAATATATTTTATTTGACATTTTTTTGTTTTTAATAATAAATAACTTTTATTCTAAAATGTAGTTTAATTATTTTAATAGAGTAGTGAAATACTCAATGCTTTATATTTAAAGGAATGTTGAACACGTTTAGAATATTATATGTGAAAATTCGTTTATTCTATTTTTCAGTAAAAATAATTCAAAAATCGTAATTGTGCAGTGTAAAAAATACATAAAATTACCCGTACATTTTTTTGTAAAATTTGTAACAAAACTAACTTCGTGTAAAACTAATTTTTTGCGTCAATAATTTGCCCTTGTAATACAATAATCAAGTTAAAATAGGGAAATTGCATGTGTTTTAATCGGAAAACTTCTCCTCGTTACAGGAAATGATGAGAATCGGATAAAAAATTTTAAATTTGGCTTAACAATTTTTTTTTAATTGAAATTCAAAAATCGTGCAAATAAGAACCATTCTAGTAAAGCATACAATGAGTGTAACCTATGTAATAATTAATTTTTAAAAAATCAAATAAATAATGTCTCAAGCCTAGATAAATTAGTCAAGAAATCAGCAAAAAATATTAAAAAACAACTCGTTTCGTATCATAGTTAGATAAAATGGTATTTATAATTTCGTAATTAACGAAAAAGTAATTCTAAATATTTGTTTGATAACTAATGGTTAATAGTGTTACAATGCCGTTAATTACCGCATGACGGACAGGTTTTATTGCTTAACGAATTGAGTGGCTGTACGTTCTTCTATAAAACCAAAAAAAACAGTTATTACCTAATGAGATAGAATATAACATATATAAATATATATAATATGTTGCACATCTAGATCAAAACTGTAACAACTCAAAAAGTTGGTATTTTATGTTTATTTGTATATTCGCATTCTACAAACGAAGTTGCATGAACCAACAAAACAAATTTAAAATTACATATATATATATATATTTAAATTTGGAAAAATTACTAATCCCATAATCTAACTACCAAAACCGTTTAAAACTTTAGTTTCTGCCTAGACATCGAGAGGAGTTCACGTGCGTTGGTTGTACAAAACTGTTTTATTAAAATAAACAGTTAAGATTTAATTAACAAGTTAAAGTAATTTAACTTGAAAATAAGTTTTTTTGAATTATTGAAAAAAGGGTTTTTTTTAGTACAGTTTTGATCTATGTGTGTGATATATATATCCATGATTTTCACATTCTTTAACAATTAATAAATAATATTGCAGATTAACATAAATATACCTTGTTAAAATAATATGAAGTATACGTTATTAATAATTAAATTACAATTTGTATGGTTTTGTTAAATAATTAATTTTAAAGTATTTATATAAACGTTTTGCAATTGTAAAATATAGATAGAGGACGAAGGGGACGAAGCCCTCCGCGAGCCTGTGGTCTGTGCTATGTTTAAAATGTTAGCCCCCCCCCTTCTAACAAGCCAAATTTACCCCTATGTTTAAACGTTCTCAACACAGGGTGATCGTAAATGTTATTATTTCAAGAGATCAGAAAAAAATTCAAACTGTTCAGTTATCCTCACATTATTGTTACAGTAAAATGAAATTCTGCGTTAGCTACTTAATATACAATACAGTAAGACCCGACCAAGAAAAATGTATAATTACTCCCTTATAATATACTCGACCGAGACACAGATTATATGAAAATGCTTATTAATGATAAGATTTAAATGATAATAACCGACTATATAATCACAGATTAGATCATTTCTATTATGGAATGTTATGTTTGAATCTGTGGTCACACTGATTTCATTATAGTCCCGTGCCGTCTTGGTTTTTGTTAACATGCTAAGTGAGCTACTTGTTTTCACTTTTTCATTTTTATATAATCTGTGCCTGTACGTTGAAATAAATATTATAATTATAGCCAATTCCCATAAAAAAAAAAAGAAAATGTGTTTTACATTTTAGTAAGAGTAGAGTTTTATCTTACCGATTTCACTTGGTGTGTCGATCCGGCCAGCAAAATGAGGAACGTACCAAAAAACAAAATTTTAAACATTTTTATTATTTAAAAAACGAAAATCCAATCATTTAATATTCAAGCCGGACTAAATGCTGCATCAAATGTTCGTATTAACCCAATCTGACAGCCGTTTTAAAATAGTAAAAAGTTGTGGTCGACAACAATGATTTATAGTAAGTTGTGGTACTCCGATAACGGCCATAGTAAAGATTTAAGTTTCTAGGCTACCGTCACATAAAATTTTATGGCTGATTTTTTTTCAAAATTAATCTAACTTGTTTCCTCAAGGGCATTCTCAAATAGGAGGGGAAGGGCAAAGGGATAGCCACCCGGTGAGGTTATGTATTGTACCGTTATGCAAATAAAAGCATTTAAATTAAAAAATATAACTTGATCGGATAAAGAATAATTTCTTAAATTATTAGAAAATGTCAAGAAATCTTAAATTTTTTTTACAATTATCTTCCTTAAAAAATATATGCATGTATATAATATCATTGATAACTTTGAAATTATTGATACGAGAACCAATCTGATTTCATCAATTAAAAAATTATAACACTTTTCTATGGTTCATCAGCAAAAAAATTAAAAAAAAAACAATTAGTGCATTCTAAAATTTATCTATACGTCGTGCTACAGCCTACATACTGCCTTAAATATAATTATGGATTTTTAGAAAAACACTAAATATTTAATCAGAGTAAAAATGTAAAACAACTGTTGGAATTTTAGTTTATTTTTTTTTTTTTGTTACCCGATGTATAAAAATGATTATATTGCATACCTACCAGATTTTATTACATCCATGAATAACAATTGTGATTTATGCGAACAACTAAACATTTATGTTTTCTTATCGTTAAATAGAAACGATTAAGAGACCTCTACATCTACATATTTTAGGTCGGAAACAACTCGTAACTAAATATCATTTTAAAATTGTGCTACTATCGATACCTTGTAAATATTATAAAGAATTTAATATATATTTTTTTTTAAACTTAAAACGGAAAAATTTTTAAGAACGTACTGTTTTATGTAGGAAAATACGTTTTTTTTACAAAAATAGAGCTTGTATGCGTTAACTATTTTTTTTTAATATCATAAGCTTACAAATCTTAGTTAAATTGCATTGAAAAATTGCTTATACCTACAATGCACCTTTGTGCTAGTGTAACTATACAGGTCCCCTTAACCTTAGTTCATAAATTATTAGTCCAGTGTTGAGAAGGAATTAGTTTCAAAAGGAACGGATTTCTGGAACGAGTTCTTTTTGTAACAACGAAGCTTTAGAGCTGGCTTCTTTTAAAAATATAGAAAAGAGGAAAATTAACGAATTATTTTTTTTTTTTGAGGAACGTGAACGAAAATTACAGTTCCTTTAAAATGTTAAAAACATTATTTTAGTGTAGTTTTCTTTGTTTCTAGGCGTTTTAAACAAGAAGGTATTTTTAGTTGGTTTACGTTAACGATTGACAACGGAACAAACCCCATCCTATATTGTAGGCTATTTAATTGAATCGATTGACTATAAATACTGTTATTCTGACATAAATGTATATGTTGTATATATATAAAATAATAAATTGTATAGTGCCAATTGGATTCCGAATTATTATTTCTATGTAGACAATAGACATCGGTCGCATTGACACAAGTCGTCAGCAGTTACCTGCTGCCCTATTTACATACATATTATTTTCCAATACTTTAAGATAAGGAGTTGGGACTACCACAAATTTGTTTTGTTTTCGACTGCTGGTGAGGATTTTTGTTGACCGTTATCATGATCTCGAGGTTACCAGGTTACCTGTTACCTGTTACCAGGTTCGAATCTCGGCCACTGGCGGTTTGTTCTTCCGGGCGGGCAACTGTCTGGGGGAAAAAAATGGCCACCTGCACCTCTCTCTGAGGCCAACTTATCTGATAGCGTTAGGTCGGCAGCCAGCTCAAATCCCAAAAATGCCAAATCTAAAACCGTCTTAGCCTCGATTGGCGGGAATAACGGACGTTAAACGTAAGAGAGAGAGAGAGAGAGAGAGAGAAAGTAAATATAAGTAATAATTTATTCCTTATATTTACTAAATGCGTTTAATTTGTCCAACTGGTTACAATTTTCGTATAAAAAAAATTTATTTTTAAACAGTCTAATGATATAATTCGGTTTTATAATGCTAACGTAGTGTTGTCAGGGGCGGATTTATGGCACTGCGAACTATGCGGGGCCGTATAGGGCGGCAAAATTGTATAAAATATTTATTTTGTTTTTATGTAGTAAACATTCCTTTTTTTTTAATTTTATTTTACAACTTTAAACTTTAAAATAATAAAATATATAATTTAATATAGATTATTTTTCCTGAAAACATTGATGCATAAACCACATTTTCGTTTTTTTTTTTTTGGACTTATGGGTATTGTAGTATTATTGACGTATAGTTTCTTTAGTAAAAAATGATTACAAAAATAGTAGAAATTACTTCAAGTCATGAAACTTGATAGCTAACTAAATAACTATATCTAAGCAAAAAGTTACAAGAAGTGTAACCGAAATATATTATAACTTTTAAGTATGTCTTCATTTTCTTCGCATGTACAAGTCTAAGCATTAATAAGGTTAAAAAGTTGAAATGTATGCTTATAATTACTTTTTGCGATAGCCTTTAACTTAACCAATTCTTTCTACCAAGAAATAACATTAAATAATAATAGCTAAGTTACCTTAAAAAATTTGTTTTTGATGACCTACCAGCATATTATATTTGAATTGTTTCAAAGAACAGTGTTACGCGAATAAACTGGGGTTTTCTTTAAAAATGCATGTGCACATTTTTATTATGTTATAGTACTTTACTTATGGTTTATGTTTTTTACATGATAAAATTTAATTGTTATGTACATTTGTATTGGAACTTTTGTTAAAATTTAGTATGAAAAAAAAATTAAGCATATACTATAAATGACAACTAATATTGTCAAAAGATTGTGTTTCGTCCATCGTATAACAAAAAAAATTTTAATTTAAAAAAATATATAAATAATTTTTTATTTAACTTGATAAAATATGCAACTCTAAAAATTCACTTTTCATTGTTCCCGGTGATGTAGGTATCAAAAATAAAAAAATACAACCGTAAATTAATATTTTGTACACACATTTTCCGTCGTTCTCGAGCTAGGAGACCTAACTTCCATGTCAGAAAGGGTTAAAAGAGCGATTAAGGGGTTGTTTTTTAGTTTTGTACAATTTTTTGTGTTACATATCGATTTATAATTTTGGTAACACTGAATCTGGTATTAATTTAAAAATTCTCACCTTATTTAGGGGATGAAGCGGTATTTAAAAAAAAAACATTTATTTTTGTAACATTTTTAAATGTTTTATTTAACAATTAATTTGTTTGTAATTCAATTAGTATATTTTTAAGTCATGAATGAAATTTTAATTTTTACTACAGTATAATAGAAATATACAAACTTCAATTTTTTTTAAGAAATATAATTATTATAATAAAACATATTCTTTGTTATTAAATTACTATGTAGTCGTAAATTTTAAAATTTTAAATAAATAGTTTCTTGGTTTTATAGAATGCGGATTTGGTGGACTTTTATTTTTTAATAGCTGATAAAAATAACACCGAGAATCAGTATTATTCCAATCCAAATTGTCGTCGATTTCAGAATCGTTTATCTAAACACTGCTACCTACAAAAAAAAATATTAAAAATACAGATACATGGAACAAGTACTATTTATGGCCTAAATTTTGAAGAACGATTATTGTTTAGTTATACGCTTTGAAATATCAATATTAACATTTTTAAACTTTGTTCTAATAATAAAATAATAAATATTCATAGTATAATAAATTTAGTAATTTTTTTAATTTTTTTATTGAGTTATAAATTATAGTGTTATTCACAATTAAAAAGTTATCAATTATTAACTATTTGGATATATTTTAGCCTAAGCAAAATTTAAATTCTTACTGAAAATACGTGTCTCACAATGTTATTATTTTTTTTTACACAGAAAAAAGAACAAATAAATGTCACATGTAATATAACAATTTTAAGAGGTGCGATTTAGTGACATATGCAACAGGCAATTTAACCAGAAAAGCAATCTAAACACACAAATGTGAAGTACGTATGTTACAAACAAGTATCATAATTTAAACTTAATTTAATTGCAACTTTTTCCTTTCTTTTTTCTTATTTTTATTTACATTTATTTAAAGTATAACTGTTATAATAAATATAAAATACTTTTTTTGTACAAAATATTATTTAATACATTTTTTTTTCTTCAAATTTACATTATTAAAGGTTATATTATGTATGTTAAACATTGATAGTAAAATTGTCACCATATAACATTTTTGAAATATATCAATATATAAAAAAGTATTTATAACACGAAGATGTTTTGGTGGGTTAATTATATTTTTGGAATGGGTAGGCTATATTCCCTTCACCCGATTTTTACCTATGTCAACCACCCCAAACACATTGACTTTTATTTACAATTTACATACACGTATGTATATGGGTTGAAAGTTAAAACGCTAAATACGAAAGAACGTTTGGAGAGACACCCAATATTGATATGTTACATTATTGTTTCACCCAAAATTTACTTTAACATTGTCACATTACCCATGTAACCTATTTAATATACTGTTTAATTAATCATTTACTTATATTTCATTCAGTCCTAATATAACTAAATTTGAAAAAAATTGTTTTTAGACATTGCTGAAAACAAAGTTCCGGCCAAAACAAATGGGTTGACTGATATTGGCAATTTGCAAAAGGTAATTTTTTTTTATCAAATATTTTAATACTTTATAGATAATATTTGTATATATTTTTGAACATTACAGGCAAAAAAACCAAATAACCAAATATACACTTGTTCGATAGAAAATTGTAAAAAAGCTTTCAAAAAAAAAAGTGATTTTGATAATCATGAAAGGGTACACACAAGTGAAAAACCTTTTCAATATGTTTAATACGAAAAAAAATTCAATCAAAAGAGGAATCTTAAAACACATGAAAAAAATGTTTGTTCAAAAAATTTAATATAAATTAAACAACTTTTTTAAAATTTTTTTTTTTATTTCACACTTATTTTTGTAATTTCATTTAATTTTACTTATAAACGTTTATAATTTTTTATAAACCGTATTTTTTTTTTAAACTTGTTTTCTCCTGTGTTATGACCTATATGTACCAACAATAAAATAGGTATTTTTTTATTTCTTTTTAAGTTACTAATTTAGGAATGCTGGAATTGTACATTATTTAATTAGAACATTATTATTTTTCAGAATATTGATAACAAAAGTCATAAAAAATAAATGTCATAAGATTTGAATCTTAAAAGTTCTCTTTAATTTTCAAATGGGAATTTGTCTTCTAAAAACTACAGTATATAACAGTAGTGCTATAATTTTTTAATAAATAAAGTAATATAAATAAGAAATTCGACTTTTCTGATAAACGTCTGAAAATAGCTATAAGGTTAAATTACTATCTAGTACGGCTATCATAGGTGTGGACTCACTTTCTGGGTATATATATATATATATAAACAACTTTATTTATGCCTATAGGTACACGGTTTCATAACAGTTGAATTTATTACAAAATACATTTCTTCTGTCAACATCCCCTCTCCCCCCAAAAAAAACCGACCAAATAATAACAACTCAATAAAGAAAATACTCCACACTACAGTGTGTAACGTGTATGTATATAATAATCTATATTGTTATTCCACAATAATTGTTAAAAGAGTCGCTGTTTGATGTTTTTTTTTACTGTTAGTAGGTAATCTATATTGTTATTTCGTAAATCCCAAAAGTGTTTGTTGTTTGGTTTCGTTTTGATGAATTATCACTATTTTTAAAAAAAATTAAAGCCGATCTATTTTTTTAAATTTAATTTACCATAAGCAGGGGGAAATAAAATGGGCAAAAATCGGAAATATTTGAGAATTGAGAACAATTTAACTTAATACTATTTGAATAAACCAACTAGTTTTAGCGAAAGTTAAACTTTGAGGGTTATTCTTCTCTAAGTGATGGTGAACGTTTGTAAAAAAAAAAGTGTTTGTAGATGTCACTTTCTGGCATATCTATTGGATAGATGTATTGGATCAAGGTTATTTTAATAGAAAACGTATGTGATAATAATATACTTGGCTTTTAATTTGATTTGCAGAACAGAAACTACATTGTTATTTATTACATTACCGTTATTAAGTTTCTTTATATTACGCTTTACATTTCTACGAATCTATCCTGCTAAAATATTTTAATAAAAAAAAGTTCAATTTTACTGTTGGTAATAAATATTTATTAATTTATTTAATTTATTCATTAAAATCCTTAAAAATTGCCCATATGCAGTTGTTGTGATAACGTTATCAGTTAAAAAAACCAAAACAATAAATATTGGATTGATATTTATTATTTTACTCTCTAAAATTCTAAATAAAAAAAGAACAAAGTTCTAGTCCACTTTCAGTATAAATTTTCTTTTTAATTTGAGTCTGCGATTGATGACTACAAGGTTAGTTACTGTATAGTATTGTTTTTGCTTAATCATGTAAAAATTAATTTTTGTTTTTAATTTCGTAATTTGTTAACCGATACCCGTCCAGTGTACTTATTAAGACTTCACAATCATAATAATTGTTGAACATGAATCTAGTCAATCGTATAAGAATATTTACACCTCTCGTTAATTTCACTCAAAATGGATTTAAAACGATCAGCAGACCCAATGTTTGCAAAAAAACACATTCAGCTCCGCGAACACAGTTGCCTTTCAATCGTTATTTTAAAACAGAATATCCCAAAGTAGTGTTCTTGGGATTTTCATTACTTAGTATTTTTGGATTCGAAGATGAAGAAGATTGCGAACAGAAGTTGATCAATACCATTAAAAGAGGTCTACTTTGTCTACAAGTAAACATAAAAAATTTTGTTTATATATATAAAAAAAAAAAAATTTTAGCCAAATTCTTTCTTACTTCTATTTTTATTTAAATGATGTTATTATTTGTCTGATTTAGAAAGAAGATTACGAATGTTTTGAACAAAAATTACACGAAGCTCTTAAAATAGCAAACAATATTAAAAGTTTTGAAGGCGTAACATATGTGTACGATGTACTAGCTAATGGAGCGTTTATGAAAAAAGACTATGTAAATGCTGAAAAGCTTTTTGTATTGGTTATGCAACGATTGATGTCCAAAGGATCTAAAGAAAATGATCTCAATATGCTGCATATTAGTCTCAAACTGTCGAAAATTCTTGAAGCAAAACAAGATTTTGTGTAAATATCAAAAGTAGTTATTAGTCTATTATTTAGAAATTTAAATATTTTCAGTATATTAGTATATTCTCTAAGTTACCGATATTTAACCTGAAAGGGCAATGGTCTACCAGTTATAAAGTCGAAACTGAAACATTAGTATTTTGATACGGCTAAATATATAATAATGACTTGGATATTAAGTATACATTTATTTTTGTACATTTTTCTGTCTAATTTTAAACACATTCAAGCAAATTCTTTTTTATACATTAGGTTGAGTGTTAATCATTAAAATATCTTAGCTAAAATTTAAATGTGGAATAGTTCAAGTCAAAACCAAATTTTTATTACATTTTTAAAGTATAAAAAATGACAATTAAAATTGTATAGGTTAATAATACACTCTTATTCTGAATACAATATAGAATACGAATAAAATAAATTAATTTTTAGAAAGTAATTAAATTTGTAGCGTATGAAAAAATAATAATTTGCTCATAAAACAATAATGCTTAATATACTAAAACTAATAGAAAAAAATAAAAATAAACTGTTCTCTTCTACTGTTTTATTTTGTGTCATATTAGTTAATTTTTTACTTGCATATTAAATTTGTTGTTTCATAATGTTTTTAATAATTTACAGAAAATGTGAAATTGGTTATACTCACTGTCTGAAACATTTGGAAGAATTGATCAAACTGGATCCAGACAATGAGGACATTTTGGGTTTGTTATCGTTGACTTTGGACTCGTATGCTCGTTATTTATTAAATCGAGGAGACACAAAAAAAGCATATGCGCATTTCAAAAAATCATACAAAACTTGTGTAAAACTTAATGGTGAGATTTACGAAATGAATGTAATATTGTTAAACGATTTGGGCACGTTGTGCTATGTTCAAGGCAATGTAGACAAAGCATTCAAGTATCTAAACAAAGCTGCTAAAATTGGTCAACACCTGCCAGACATGGAAAGCTTTTCGACTGTGTACATCAACCTCGGCAATATATACTTGAAACAAGGCATGCTAATAGAAGCTGAAAAATCGTGTACAGAAGGCATAAAAAATGCAAAAAGACATAATTTCCAAGAAGGCACTGAAGAAGCCAATATTTGTTTACGAGAAGTAAAAAACTTAATGAAATAAACTATGAGTCTTATAAAGAATAAAATCCACTTCACGCCATCATCTTTAGTTAATATCATTTAGTCTCTATATGTGATAGATACTTTTTTTCAAATTTATATACCAAAATTATATATATTTATGGTTTTATAAATATAGTAATTATAGGCTTTTACCTTATAGTTGGTATTACGACTTGGATACCAATAATTAACATATTATTAATAATATATTTTTTTAATTTTTTATTGTACTAAATATAGCAAACACTAATCTTACACCTAGTCATATTAAGCTTTTTGGTTTGTATACAATAATTAAAGGTCCACTATTAAAGTAATTCAGTTACTAAACTTTGAAAAATGCTGTTTAAATACTAAACAAAAAGAAAGAATCTTAGTGAGCACTTTTTTTATTTATCCAGTCAACACTTAACTAATGCAATATTAACACTAAATGTACAGGTTTCATAAAAATAAGTTTTTATGTTTAATATAATGTAATGCAAATTATGCAAGATTATAGTACAAAGTATTCATAAGACAATTTATAAATAGTATAAAAAACTGGTTTTAAATTTCTTTAGTTATGTCAAAGTCAAAATAAACTTTTAACCATAATAGTATATTTTATTGCAGATAACTGAAATATAATTAACAATATATAATTTTATTATTAGAGAAACAAATTAGTAGTAAAAATACGTTTATGACTACACAATGTCAATGATTTCTTTCAGTCTTTAGTTTGAACAATCTTAAATTAGTTCTAGAAGATCATTTATATTTTAATCACTGCATGCCGTTTATTGGCCCAACGGCTATCATCAAAACTCCTCAAAAAGCGCCACAAGAAGAGTCTCTGCTAGTTTAGGTCAGCTAAAACATATTTGCTTGTATTAACACTAATATAAAGGATTTTCAATAAAAAAGTTGGCTCACTTCATAATCGTTAATACAAGAAGATGGTATATGATCTAATTCCTCATTATCTTTAGAAACGTTTTTCGATGGGTCAGATGAGAGAAACTGTTGATTGTTTTCGTTGAAACTCCAGACGCCGTTACCTGAGAAATGGTGTGATTTTTCTAAATGATATAAAACTAATGGTAAGATGAATTCTGATTTGATTGTTCCATTCGAGTTTCTCAAAAAACAAACATCTTCCATGTTTTGTGCGACAACCAGAGCTTCTTCAATGTTATTCCTAAAACGGTAGTAGTATCGATATGAATATTAAAAAAACCAATATACATTTAACGACAAATATAGTAGTTATAACAAAATATGTTTTAATATTATTACTTGGGGTACAACAATATGTGTACACTACTCTTTATTTGTTCTTTTGTGAATTGTTTGTTTTTCAAATACTCAAACGTTTTTCTGATTCTCAGTAGAGAAATGTATTGCCAATATGTGTGACGTTCAAACAGTTTACGTAACTGTTGCTTGTTTTCGTTTAATTCATTTGTCAAGAAATGCATAATGTCATTAGATGTGACCTTAGCGTGACCACTGCAATTAAACCTGTAAATATAATATTATTAATTATTTTATTTATCTAAAAAAATTACACGGTTTAAACAATAAAATTATTATTGATTTTACCTGTTAAAGGCTCTGGTATTTGACGACAACAAATGTAAAGAAACACAATTTTTGTTTTGCAAATATTTCAATCGTAGATTTACTTTTTTTATATAATACAACAATCTAGCCACCTGTGGATTGTTCATAAAAGAATTTAATTCGGGTGTGTTCTTCAGAATACACAAACGCTCATAAATTGAATTGCTTCCCAATGTGTATAATTGTGGAACTTTTGATAGAGCAGATTCTGGAACACCAAAATCCTAAACACCAAATGACATCTAATATTACTAAATATCCTATTAAAAAAAAAAAATAATAAACATTACCTTTAAATGTTTTTGAATCTCACGAATTGATTCGCATGGAGTGAGGATAATTTTTGGATGTTTTGTTAAAACCGTTTTAATGTCCATACCACAAAGTTTTTTGAAGTTTAATAATTTCACTATATTATCAGGATCACTGTGTATCAAATATGGATGTCTTCTTATCTACCAAAAATAAATAGAGAAGTCCGTAATTATAAAATGATTAAGATAATACAAAATCATGACTTATTACTTTGTCTTCACTAAAATTAAGATCATTGATAAGAATGTCAATAGATCTCTCGATTAGTCTTAAGCTTTTATTGTATAATCTGTGATAGACTTTTAACGCTTGTCCAACATCTGTATAGTCCATTTGAATTTTCCATTCAACATATAATTTAAAGATATTTTCTTGAACCTCACCCAATGTGTGGGACTCATTAAATTCTTTTGGATACTTGTCTGTTGGAAATTGGAGAAATGATAGTATATGATGTTGAACGTCAATATTGTTATCAATATACTTTTCGGCTTTCAACATTTTAATTGATTTATTTTTAAAATTCTTAAACCTGATAATACATTATTACTCAATATTAGTAAACACATGAATTTATATATGTATAATTTGAAATATTTATGTCATTAGACTCATTACTTACCTTGAAATCACTAAAGGATTAATTTTTTCTTTATAAAATCCGCCTTCTTCCAGTAACATAATGTAGTTTTTTAATGTTAATGGATGCACCGATATTACTTGAGGTGTTTTAGAAATATCCTCTTTGGTAAAGCCGTATTCCTAGAAGTATAAACAACACCTATAATCTAAGTGTTTAACGTGGATCGTTCAGTAGAATTAAAATCTTAGTTTTAATGTTACTAAAATAATTGTTGCTGTACAAGTATTGTAAAGACTCATTTTACAATAGTTTTAATCAAATATACTGTAAACATTCAATATAATATGTTGTTCAAATAATACTTGTTTTAGTGAAAAAAATGTACCATCATATAGGATATATTGTGTGATAACATAGCTGGAGGAGAATTCCATATTGACGCATACTTATTCATAATTTTTTTTGTCTCGTGAAAAGGCATACCTGGAAACCGATAATAGTTAGTCAACAGATTAAAAAAAAAATATTGAAGATGTCAACAAAAATGATTTTATCCGGAAAATAGTTGGGTTCCTACCTAATTTTTGTTGAAATAAATTTAATACATCACTATTTACATCTTTTGATGAAAAATATCGACAGGACTGATACTTTTTGACCATACACAAAACGATTGATGTCTTAATTTTTATAAATTTGAAATACATACTTGAGCTTTGTTTACATTATCAATCTATTCAAAAAAATATATTTTAGTGAGTAAAACTTTTACAGTAGTAGAACTATAAAAAACATAGTTTTATGAAAATTAATTAAATTTTAAAACTAAAGTCAACAGTACCAATTTTGTTATCTCTTATCAGTTATCAGTTTATCACATTCAGGCAACATCAGCTGTTCCCTGCTGCTCTGTGCTCGTAGTCCCCATCCCAGAAATAGGTAGATAGAAGAATTTCAAAAGAATAATAATTACTTAAATTTATTTAACCTCCTCTCAAACATTAAACAATTGTGCAGCAAATAAAAACTAAACTGAATATACATTTTTGGTAAATATATATTTGAGAATGATAGAAGGACGTAAAAGAACATTCAACTAAAAAAGATATTAACTTTGGCCATCCTATTCCTAACGCAGACACTTACTTGAATCATCTAAGCACGGACATATTAGTTTTTGTCAATATAGGATATTAATCATCTCCACATCGTTGATCATCAATGAAATATATTCTGCAATGCTGATGTTCCAGTTTACTTATTAGTTAAAAATGTTAGGCAGTAGAACAGTAATTGGGGAATTGATTACCCTTTTGAGCTGATTTCTTATAATATAGTTCTCCACACTTCCAAATACCTGTAGCCGAGTGACAAACTGGCGTCAGTGAGCGCTAACACACTTCCTGCTGGCCACTTGTTCTCCACAACCTAATGACTTCCTACTAGGCCTACATCCTAATAAAAGCATATCTAATACAGTATAATATTAATTTATATGTTTAGTTATTTTTTTTTTATTTCCCAAACATTAGGAATTATTCATTTTTTATAAACGGAGATTTATTTATTAATATAATTAAGACCAATATCGTTATAATTTATAACAAAGTAAGTTATATTATCGATCGACTTACGCAATTCATTACTCATCTATAATAATAGTTAAATTATTAAGCCATAAAGCCACAGAGATTATCTTACAGCATAAATGGTACATGCATACGACAAAAGAGATTTAGTAGTATAAATGACACTTTATCTGCTCAAAATAGGATCTATACAACAATATTAGCGAATAAACGCCATTAGAACAAATTTTATGAGGCGAATATCGCCTTTTAATAACGTTTTTTGGCTATAGCTGCCATAAATTTGAACCAAAATATTTAGTTATCATTATCATTATTATGTTTACATATAATATTATACTCAAAGTACATTCGTAAAGTATAAAATCATCTATTACAAGTATTTATAACAATATTTAACTATATAAAATAACCTAAGAGAACAATAAACTTGGTATATTATCATAGAGATAAGTGTATTTAAATACTCTCAAAAAAACAAATAACAGACAACTTGAGTATACCTAACATTATTTATAATCATTAAAAAAATATTAATAAACAAAAACGACTTGAATTCACAGCATCATTGAACTTGTTCAGTCTTTCAATTTTAATCTTCAACTGGTTCTAGAAGATAACTGACATTTAAAACATCACATAATGCTTCTAGACCCAACAGCTAATATTTCAGCTTGATATTTGTTATAACAACGCCACATGCAGTAGCACTCAAATACTTAATTTATTCAGCTAAAAAAAACATTTTTCATTGTTGTTTATTTTTTTAAATTGAAACTAATACAAAAATGTGTATCATTATAATAAACAATTATTATTCTATGAATTAATTAAAATAAAAACAATAGTTTTCAGCTTACTCCATATTCATAATGCAAGGAGATGGTACATGATCAAGTTCCTCAGTGTCTTTGAATAGATTTTGCGATGAAGTGGACGATAGTAACTGTTTGCTGTGTTCATCAACACTCCAAACGCCATTTCCCGAAAAATGATGAGTTTTTTCTAAACTATACAATACTAATGGTAACACAAATTCTGATTTAATTTTCCCAGTCGAATCTCTTAAATAAGTAACATTTTCCATGTTTTGAATGTCTACAAGTGCGTCGTCAATTTTATACCTTAAACAAATATAGCATTAAAAACAAGATATTTTGCAACCAATATATTACACAGAGTATTTTTATAGTTTATTACATGGGATATAGTAGGATGTGGACGTTATCACGTATGTTTTCTATTGTAAAGTGTTTGCTTCTCAAACTTTCGTACGTTTGTCTGATTCTCAGTAGAGAAATATATTGCCAGTACATGTGACGTTGAAAATGTTTACGGAGCTTTTGTTTGTTTTGGTTCAGCTCACTTGTCAGGAAATGCATGATGTCATTAGATGTGACCTTATCATTGCCGCTATTATTAAATCTGTAAATGTAATATTTTATTAGAAAATACAATTACACATTTTAAACAAATAAGTAAATATTAATTTTACCTGTTAAAGGACCTATTATTTGACGACAGCAAATTTAAAGAAACACAGTTTTTGTTTTGCAAATATTTCAATCGTAGATTTACTTTTTTCATATAAAATAACAATCTAGCCACCTGTGGATTGCTCATTAGTGTTTCTAATTCGGGTGTTTTTTTTAGAATACACAAACGCTCATAAACTGAATTGCTTCCTAAAGTATATATTTCGGGGACTTTAGATAAAGCAGATTCTGGAACACCAAAATCCTATACAACAACATTACCAATTATTATTAGGTATTCATAAAAATATAGCTATTTTGAAAAGAAAAATTCATTACCTTTAAATGTTTTTGAATCTCTTGAATTGATTCGTAAGGTGTGAGAATTATTTTTGGATGTTTAGTTAAAACCGTTTTTATGTCCATACCACAAAGTTCTTTAAAATTTAATAATTCTAACATGTTGTCAGGATCACTGTGTATCAAATACGAATGTCTTTTTATCTACCCACAAAACAATGTTTTGCTGTTAATTAGTTTTAATGCATTATGATAATAATGAAAAATCATGACGGCTTACCTTTTCGAAGTTAAAATTAAGATCATTGATAAGAATGTCGATGGATCTCTCGATTAGTCTTAGACTCTTATTATGTAGCCTGTGATAAACTTTTAATGCTTGTTCAATATCTGAATAATCTATTTGAATTTTCCATATAACATATAATTTAAAGATATTTTCTTGAACCTCTGTTAATGTGTGGGAATCATTAAATTTTTTTGGATACTTGTCTGAGGGAAATTGGAGAAATGATAATATATGATGTTGAACGTTAATATTTCGATCAATAAACCTTTCAGCTTTCAATGATTCGATTGATTTTTTTCTCAAATTTTTGAACCTGTGTACATATAAAACATATATTATAAAAATATTAATATGTACAAATAATTTGGAACATTTAGGCAATATATACATATTATATGGTACATATTATTATATACCTTGATATCACTAAGGGATTGATTTTATCTTTATAAAACCCGCTTTCTTCCAGTAACATAATGTAGTTTTTCAATGTTAACGGATGCAATGATATTACTTGAGGCTTCTTAGAAATTTCTTCTTTTGTAAATCCATATTCCTAAAAAATGTACATCATACATTTTTATAATTCATAGTAAAGTCATCAAACTTAATAATACTAGATGTATTTAGTTTAATTCCCCCTGCACTGCAAAACAGACATTGTCTGCACATTCTTGCTCAACCACTACTAATATTTTAGCTTTGATAATTAAAAAAAAAAAAAACAGTGAAAGTAATTTATTATATAAAATTATATATCTACTAATTATAATAGTTACGATAATAATAATTAATATTATAATATAGATATAATTTTGAAGATGGACCCAACAATGGGTAAGAAAGTCAGCTAACTAATGACAAGATGGATAGATCCCAAAATGATCAAACTAATAGTTCAACCCATGAATGTTTTAACATATTCATTGTACTTTAAAAAAAAAAAAATTGGTTACCATCATGTAAGATATGTTTTGTGATAATATAGCTGGAGGAGAATTACGTATAGATGAATACTTGTTCATAAGTCTTTTTGTTTCGTGAAAAGGCATATCTGTAAAACAATTGAAGGTGTCAAATAAAATAAACAATCATATATTTAACTTAACCTTATTTATTTAACCTTGGCACTTACCTAATTTTTGATGAAATATATTAAATAAACTCTGATTTTCATTTTTCGCCGAGTAACTTCTGTACGACTGATACTTCTTTACTGTACAAAGAATGTTTGCCATCTTAATTTTAAATTTGTGGAACATTTTTTTTGTTGTATTAACCTAAAATAATAATAGTAATTATAAATATAGAGAATATTATAGGTTTAAGACAATTTAATCTCATGAATTTGCGCAAACAATTAATTTGGTTTAGCATTGGATTTATAGGCAGGCAGCATAAGCCGTTGCCTAAGGCAATTTTGGTAACATTCTCATTTATTAACAAATATTGACGTATGAGTGATGTTATATATGATGGACAAAAATTGATTTGCAAAGGAGTAAAAAATGTTTAATTCCGCTTCTGATTTTTTACATCAAACTGATATCAATATATTTGTTAGTTTTTAACTAACTTTAAATATTGTGTATAATACTCGTTATGTATAGCATTTAAAGTTTCAATCTAAGCTTGTATACTTTTGTATTTTCTCTTACAATAAATTATAATTCAAAAAACCCGTTTACCTATGTGTTTAGTTATATTTTACAATGTGGTATCATTCATTTCACCAAAACATAGTAACTACTCAATGAATATTGTCGAGACTTACTTATGTATTTATTACATTATACAATGTAGCATTTGATAAATATCCCAGTAATCAATAAAAAATAATAATGATATTTTATTGTAGAAACGTACAATTTGTTTTACTATTCACATTTTTGTATGAAAATTGAATAAATAAAACTCGATAAAAGCAGTCTTTATTCCGTTATCATTCCGTTATCACACAAGTACACAGCGGCGAAAATTATGATAAGACGTTACCAATAATACTTAAATTGGTAAATGTTATGTTGATAGATATTATTAGGCGATAGATCAGGATTATATTTTATTGAAGGACAGCCATAAAAAATTAGTTTTGAAATTTCATCTTTAGTATTTTTTTTTCTTCAAAACCAATGTTAATTATGAAAAAAAAGCATTCATACTACTACTTGATAATGAGGTTTTATTTAATAATATTGAGTATTCTTAAGAAAACGCCGCCACTCCATCCATTTTTACACATGAAAACACAAGTTGGGTTTCTCCATACACGATACAGCTCCTGTAAGACAATTTTTAAAAGATCTGTATTAAGAAACCGAAGAGTTATTTTTCAACATTTTTTTTAAAGCTCTGTCAAGAAGGATGCTGCGAAAGTCAGAAAAATAATTTAACTAAGTACCAAAAAAAGAGTCCTAATTACTGAACTAATAATTATTACACATTTCAGTTAAAACGTTTAAGTTAAGATTTTTAAAAAAATTGTCCATCCTTAAAAATGAACGAAGTGGCGCCCTCTTAAATAGAAAATATGCTTTAATCATATTACTCATAATATACTGTATTATCTTTCTAAGATAGGTGATACCTAAGTATCTAGGTATTTATTATTTATGTCAGATTGAAAAGATTATTAAAGGAACAATTTCATCAGATGTCGTTTCCATGTCCAGTTCTCAATATTGTCACAACTCACGTAACAAAATGTTTTCATTTAAATTGGTATTAGCCTAGATATTGTGGATACAATTTGGGAATTCGGCGAACAGCCTTGTATAATACTATATTACACAGGTCGACACTCGAAACTTTATTTCATTATTTGGAGGTAGCTGTTTCCAAAAATATAATATCTATTTTTCCCAATTTGCGATTGCTGTCTAGATATTGCCTATACTGTATATATAACCGTACGTTACATAAAATGAATATTGAAAAGAGTTTATTTTAAATTAGCAATTTAAAATAAATTGCTATTTATTAAGAAAATAATAGGTATTTCAAAAATCGATTATAGACGAAAATACCTATGTTTGAAGTCACATAAGAAATACATTTTAAGACTTTATGAATAAATCGTATAATGTTTCTACCGAAATAAAAAAGGACTAATAAGTATACAGAATTGTAATGATCTAACTTCGTAAAATTACAAATTGTCTACAGTTCATACTAGATTTTAAAAACTCGATGTAATTTATATTGTCTTTTATGAGGACTAATTCCTAAAGGATTGAACAAAGTATCTCAAGTTAGAGTGTACCTTGGTAATTAATAGTTTGCGTCTGGAAAAATAGTTGCGTATTTTTTTGTTACTATGAATTAAGTGAATAAAAATATATTTTATATCTCAGCCTATTTAAAGAAGGAAAAATTCTACGCTGTTTAGGTACTTTGACAAGATAAGTAAACCCTGCACAATTTGCTATTGATCTAAATATTTTGGTGCAATTAACAATCGATTTATGTATACTCGATTTTTGAAATCACTGTAATTGTTGTACGTGACCATCTCTAGAGTATTGGCGATATCCCGTTAACAAGAGCCAATTGGGCAAAATGGTCATAATTTTTTAAAACCAGTGACCTTCAAATACCTATAATAAAATGCAATTAACCCAACAAAAACATAATGTCATTTTTGTCGAGCTGTGTTATTATACTTAAACTCGCGGGAATGCGTGTGTTGTAAATCGAGTTTTCGAAGCTCTACCGACTACTATATTATTAAAAATACCTCGATAACTAATAGAAAAAAAAAGAATTGAAATATTTTTTTACAAAATTGGAGTTTATTTAATTTGTGTTTATCACACCATTTGCAATATGGATTACACATACAATTTCATTTACATTAAAAATTGCATTTCTTTTGCTTTCTCTCCTTTTCACTTAGTCTCTTGAACACAACAAATATTGACTTCCCTTCTCCACTTCTACTAATTCTATACCAGCTAATGTTCTAACATTCCACGAAAATTCGAGATGGGACTGTCTACTGAAGTTTTATAAATAAACATGATATTTATAAAACTAAGCAACAAAATATGTAGGTCAAATGGCAGGCAAACGGGTGCAATATTCCCATCACGAGATTAGAAAAATAAGTTCCAGGAAACCGCAGCTTCCTTTTTGAGAAAGCAAAAACTCATACAAAGGCCTTCTCGGGTAAAGGGGTCTTTTTGACCTTCGACTGCAGATCAGGGTTGTCGCTTAAATCTAAAGAATAAACATCAAACCGATTTGGAACTAGTTAGATCATTTTTGTTTTTTGTAAAATCATAGTGAGCCGTATTTTAGAGAAAAATTACAAAAAAAACTAGCAATACGTTATACGATTATAAATCCAATCACTATTGCCTCTATTGCTTTTGTACCTACACAGTGAAATTTAGCAAATACATAATTATCTATTTCCTTCGGCCGACGTGTTGCACGGAAACGTCGGGCTGAAACCCGTGACAAACACTCCGGGGAGAGCACACGGTCGGGTTCGGGGTGTACATGTAGGTATATTCAATATATAGGTATATATATATATATATATATATATATGGGTCACAATGACGTACGATGCGGCAGAACACGCCGAAGGACCGCCGTGGAGGAACATCACCGTCTTGCGTGTGGCGCAAAACATCAATTCAATCAATCCCCGACGCCCTCGCGAGACACACTCTGTTCGCACGACCCCGCCAGTCGACATGCCGTTAACCGTGTTGGTCCCCACGCGTTCCCCGTGAATTCAAACTGACAGACAGACAGTCAACTGCCGGACAGACAAACACGGCCGTATCAATTGGTTTCACCTCGCAAACGGCACTCGGAGCGTGAGTATAAGATGATTATTTTTTAACGGTCAGAGCTGATTGCGGACAGTTATGTACGGTTATAATTATCGTACGTGAAACTAGAAATCTGAAATGAACTGTGAAATATCCGGGAATTTGATCGGAAACCCGCGTTGTCGAAAAGGAAAAATTTAATGAAAAAAAAAAAACACTTTTCTAAAAAATTCCGATTGTTTCAAATAAATTAACCATTCACTGCATGATATTTTAGCTTCGATGCGATAGCTGAGAAGGTATTGGTTTTTTAAATTATTTGTGCAAAGGCTTAAGAGTTTTAGTTTTTATCATTAATTACTCCCTTCACTGCAAAATTTTATGTTTTTGGTCGAACAAAATATGTGCACTATCTAAAAATAAATGAAAAAACATGTTTTTTAGTTTTAGCTTAGCGGAAAACGCTATTTCAGTAATTTCACTGTAATTGTACAGTGAAGGGATAAAACAAAATTATTTGTTTTATAATATATATACCCATTCACAATATATATACATATGTTGTACCGCATTAATAAATGTACGTATAATTAGAAATATTGTACAAAAAAGTGTGTTTTAAATAAATAATAAAAGATTATTTCTTTTGTTACATTTTTTGAACGATATATATATATATATATATATTATATGATTTGAATATACAGATTTGAGCAATGTCGTTTTATGTTAAATTGTTTTAAAAACATGTCCAAGAAATATATTTAATTTAAGTAAACGTCTATAAATATAGTCATTTTGTTTGTTAATGCGTTTTGTGATGAATTTAAATTGTTGTAATCACATTCTTAATTTGAACCATAACTAATTAGACTGGGACCGAGACGTAATCGGTGGTTGTTGAGTTATAAGATATTTCTGGTTTTCCTAAGAAACTGGAACGAATGTTTATTTTCATTTCTCGACTGCCGCAGTGAAGAAAGTCATAACTCAATTTTTGCAACCTTTGAGAAGAGCACAAAGGAAATTTCAACTTTGATTCCTTTTTCTTTTTTTTTGTGTATTCTTATATAAGTATCCCATACTCCCAGACCGATTAAAAAAAATTAAATGGTCCGGAGATAGAGAACTTTATTTTCTCTATCTTCATCTTCATCTCTATTTGTTTTTTTTATCAGTTCCAAATTGATAAAATCAAGTTAACACTGTCTTCGCTACGCATGTCGATTATTAGGTACATTTATTGTTTTCTCAATAAAATATTTTTTCTTCTTTTCCAGGTGTTTTCTTATTTATTACTTATAAGTATTTTATATAAACTAAAGTTTTTTAAACCCCGTTGTCCCGGGTTTTATCCTTTTATTAAGAAATTTAATTTATAAATACTTTTCCAAAATTATCTCTTTGTTTTCGGAAAACTTTTGTCTTAGGAAATGTTTAAACCAGTACAAAACTACTATGTTTTTGATTGACTATTCAAATATTCGAGTTGGCTAAGTGTTTTATAATTTAAATGTACGATCACTTGGTTCATGTAATAATACTAATAATAAGAACTGAAAAAAGTTATCAAACGAAATCTTAACTTTTGTAACGATACAAATAATTTGCTCGAATATTTTGTTATAGTTTAAACAAATAATGTAAATTTTAGCTTAGTAACGTTTGTAATCTCTGCTGTAACTATTGTTCGTATAAATTATTAGTGAAAAAAATACTTTAAGTGAAAAGTTTTGGGAGTGTTTATTTGAAAAGGTATAAAAACAAATTATGCCCTAAGAATAATTCATAATGTATATAAACGTATTTTTCACAGGAATTCCTAACGGTAATCAGGTAAAAATACAATTAAAGAAAAAATACTACTTGGTTATCTAAAATTACACGTTAAAATGTCTATACTCTATCTTATAATATATCTGCATATTACCGCAACGTCTGTTGCAGAAGTCATTATTTTTTCTTGACTGCCTATTATAAGTCTCAAGTTTTTTAATACTTGTAGTAAAGTCATTTCACAATAAAAAAAGTTCTTGCATTGGCTGGCCGCTGGTGATTACAAAATATTGCACACAATAGCCTGAAAATAAAATTAATTTATTATCATTCACTTGCTGTCGGTATAAAGTCGCTTAGAAATATTCTATCAAACGCAGAATTTTTCTAAGAATTTGTCCCAACTGCGTGAATTGTCTCTTGGGTTTTTCATCTTACATTCTAAAAGAATATAAAAAAAGCTCATACTATACCGGTTTTTCCAGGGGTAGGAGCAATCTAAGGAAAATACGTTTTTTCCCGTGAAATGAATACTAACTTCAATCTTTTTCCTCAAAAGATTTTTTCCCCAACAATTTCGGAGAACGACATGACGCATATATTTTATTGAAAGAAATGTCATTTCCAAGTACTATAGAAAATGTATGCTTTATTCCAATTCCTGATGCAGACAGCATTTCCACTTTAAATTTTTACCAATCTTTTTAATGAAAAAAGCAATATATATATATATAGAGAGAGAGCGAGAGAAAGAGAGAGAAAGAGTCTACCCAATTTAGTCGGGGATGAAAAAGTGCATAACTCATTGGATTCTAGAATTCCGTATTTTTCGAGTGATGGTACAAGTAAATGTGACATTGTGTAGTAAAAATAGTCCTTCTGATGTCATAAATTAATCAGAAAATTATTAGTCGAGTTACAAGCTTTAAGTTCAAGTTAATCTTTCAATTAATTTAGTTAAGATTTAAAAAATAATTTCGTTTATCAAATCATAAGCAATTAATTAATTGGACGGTCTTTAAGTTAATCCAGATAATAAAGAGTTAAGTTTAATATTAATTTATAGCTGGAAATTAAGTATGTATAGTTATGAAGTTACAGTTATTGTTAATTCAGTTTAATGTTTACTGTTCAGCCTTGCATTAATTTAAAGGACAGCCGAAAGGATATTTTGATCGGTTCTTTTATTTATAACCGAATATACTTTTAAGCACAGGATCGGTAGATGGATGTTTTCTTAAAAACACCCATCTAAACTGACATCGGTCATTATGTTGGTTAAATAATTTTGCATAATATGTAAATTGTAAACTACTTAGTGACAGTTACTCTCTAAAACTATCCTAACACTAGTTCTGATTATTCAGTAACATTTATTTTCTTTCATCGCATTCACATTCTATCTTAACGTTCAAGTTCTTATTCTAATAGCATAATTTCCAAAGTGAAAAGCCGTTTGGGATATGCATAAAAAATAGAAAACAGGACCTTACAAGTAGTGATTTTGTTGCCCCGAGAATCTTCAAACACACATTTGTTGAGAATAAAATGTAAATCCATATAATATTTGAAAATATAACCACTAAATATCAAAGAAAATTAAACGATAAGTAGGTCATGCACAAAATCTTCATGCAGCCCAACCCAAATGCATGAACGTTCGTCAGATCACACTATTTAACTTCCTTTAGGATACCCGAAAAATATACATGGGATTTTCCAGGAACTTATCAACTTCCATTCAATTCGTTAAAAAAAAAAATCAACATTCTAAGAACGCGTGGAAGAACATGTCTAATTGTTGAATCACTCTGAAATTGTATTTCAATTAAGTACATGGAAAATGTCTAATACACCAAGAGTGGCCAATAATTGCGTTATGAAATTAAAGAACGTTTTTGCTGCAAATATAAAATAAACGAACGAAAGTAAATTCACTATATACAGACAATTTTCTTAGTTCAAACCCCCTATAACTTGTTCGGACTAATTGCTAATACGATTTCGGTAAATATATTAACAACGGCTGCCGTTTCCGAGTAAATACAAAAATCAACATTTGTTCATCGGTTAATTAGCCCTTTGTACGCGTTATACTCCATCGCATAACATAATTACAAGGATAATAATTTGAAAAGCGTCGAAAATATATGTACATGTTTTTATATTTTTTTCAAAAAAAGAATAAATTGCGCTAACTTGGCGGGAAAATATTGATTTCTACTCCAAGTGCGGTGGTAATCACACGTGAGGAGGGGCTGTTCGACGGAAGTTCTTTACACTTGAAGTCTTTCGAGATGATTCACTCTACTTAAGGTGTAGTAATGTTTACCGTACACTCATTATTTTAAATTTACCGCCGTCGCATGACGCCGTGACCGAGTGCGGGACTAATTTTTAATTTAAAGGTATGGCGGTTTTTTTTTTGGTCATTATTATTAACGCTGACAAAGGGGGTCGCGAGCAGGCATCGAGATCAGATCAATTATTAAAATACAAATAGAAAAAAGTATGAAGAACATCGAACCAACTGAAGAAAATGAATAAATGATAAGTGGAATTTCAGTTCTCACTAATAACAATGCCATTCAAAGAAGTTATTACTGGGCTTCATTAGTTAAAGTATATTGCATTTTTTAAAATGATATATAGCATTTATAAATTAATATAGCAAGAATTGGTTTATCAAGATTAAATCGGGTTTAATACGAAACAATATTTAAGACATATTGGAAACATTTTAAGATTTTCTAAAATAATAAGATTCTATATTTAATCATAATGTATGTCGTGTTATACTTATAGTAAAAACAAAATTAACAAATATTTATTTAGTATTTACACTCCTTTTTTTATTAACATATGATATAACATATATGTTATAAGTGAGTTATTACTTAGAAATAGTATAACTTAATAATTAGTACAAATTATAATCATAATAATTTGTATAAATTAGTTTTTTTTTTACCTCATCTATAGTTAAGAAATTTGAGTATATAAAACAATAGTTGTATGTATATATATATTATTTAGTTGAGGCGTTTCAATTGATTTAACTTATTTAGAATTTCAAAAAACATTTGATACAATTTATAATTAATAAAAGCACATCATTGTAAAAACAATACCGTCTCAGCTCCGCATCGAAACTTGTATTTTACATTACTTACATGAGTGGAAATATGATTGAACTTTAAGTTGTTGAATTAGTATTGCGATCCCGTTTTCTTCGAAATAATAACATAATATCACTTATGCAACGCCACTCAAAATCATATATAACCGGTAAATAAGTATGACAGTATTATAAAGCACGAGATCACAATATGTTCATACTGCAAAAGTACTTGAGACGACCGAACATTTATAGTAAGTTCTTCAACTATTCCTAGAATAACTGAATGTCGAAAACTTGGCTAGAGAGACTTGCCTCTCATGAAGTGGTACGATAAACAGCTAAAAAACATGGGCGAAATAAAATGTAATTAGGGAATACCAGAAGTTGAAAACTAATAACAACACAATAACACAGCACTTGAATAGCTAAATACAGAAAGGACACATGTCCAAATTTTTAAATTTTTCAGGAGAGACGAAAAACTTAATAAGTCTTGAAAAAATTGAACTACAAATTGTATGTTGTTAAATAATTTGGTATAAGACATTATACACATGGTTCTACAATTACTTACAAAAATATTATGAAACTTTAGGTAGGTACATAATGGTGTTTAAGGTCTTAGACATGTGCCGTTTATGCTTCAAATTACTAAGAATATAACATTTCCTTATAAACAAGTAGTTTTTTTATTACTAACAGTTAAAATATCATTAATATGACATACAGTAATTTATTTGATGATAATGAGTCAAAAATATTTTATTTTATAGACAAATAAGACATGTGCCCCGTTTGCACAAAAACATGTATTTATCGATATTAAATTTAATAAGGTAAAAAATTGATTTTTAAAAATAGTGGACATGTGCTCTTTCTCTATTTAACGATTCACTTATGAGTTATGGTAGTTTAATTGAAAATTATACTTTCTATAGAAAAACATTACAATTTACATTCAGTTCTAAGCAAACACTTCATCATGATTGATGTCTAATAATCCCGAACGGCTAAAAAACAAGGCGATAAGTTTAGATTAGTGAATCTTTCACCACTATCATCATCCGAAATTCACTTCACACATCTCCATGTCTATACCTACCTAATTAATATTCAGTCTATCTTAATTACAGTGAAAACATATAGGTACCACAAATTAATAAAACGTTACGTGTTCAATACCAATCACAAATACATATTATATGAAAAGTAATTTTTTACTTAATTGTTTATGTAACACCTCAAATTGCAGTTTCTTCGTGTCATCGCTAGTGTTACTATGCATGTACAAACACATATTTAAGGATATTATGTGTAGACTTTAACATACATTTCTGATCACCCTGTGGACGCATAGTGTCGTCAGTGGTTCACATAATAATACATAGGTAATACACAATGTTTTATGGAGTGGTCGCGTTATGCATAAATCTTGCACGAGATTTGACAGATAAATCACGTTTATATATTGAACACCGCGTCAGGTCTGATTGGTAAGGTTTTCTTTTTTATTATCATATAATATGTCACAGATTTGAAACATTAAATAGCATTGTTGTTGACCGATTTACCGTAGAAATTTATTTTACCGTCCAGAAGTTGGTGCAGAGTATTCAACTAAATAATCGCTAGGACAAAAATGTAACGTTATAATAAGTCAAAATTTGTATAATTAAAAAAAAACTGAGTAGTTTATTAAACGATTAATGTCAACAATATTTAAGAGCTCGGGCAACTGCAAGAACACGTTTGTTAAGAATCAGAGGGTGGGCTAGAAAAATGTTTGTTAAAAAAAAACCTAACAAGTAACAACTACCATAAATAGTGAATAAACACGAACACATCAACAATCATGGCTTGTAATAAAAATAAAAAAATGTTCAAAAAATGTACTACCAAACATTTTTTTTATTATTTCATTAATTACAACATAATGGAGAAAGAAAACGACATTATGAGATCCACCAAAAGTGAGTATAGCTTTAACACGAGTGAACTTGTATAGTAATCTCAACTTGTACGTGTTGATTACAGCTGCTAGATAATGTGGAATCTTTAAAAAAAAACTAACGAGGCGGCACTGAATAGGGTAAATATATAAAAGTTAAAAACAAACGTTGTGTTATTTCAATGGTTTGACCTGGTATCCTAGAGACATGTAATTATTGTGGGAATTTCTACACGGAAAAATATTCGTATATTATATTATAGTTATGTTATATATAGTACACGTTATAACGTTATATACGAACCTAACCGATTGTGGTACAAGAGCTTTTGCTTTGTTTTTGTTTTATTATCGTTATAATAAAAATAACGTGTACTTATAAACTCATCACTAGTACTCATCTACAGTTTTTCAAAAGGTTGTTTGTGTGCGTCACAGTCTTTTGTCAACAATACCGTTGTTCTACATGCCACTAAAATATGTGTATTTTTTTTTTAAATATTATTACCTATTATCATTTATTACCATCATCATCATCATCTCCATCGCCGTCGTACATCGTTGTAGTGTAGACTAACTATTACACGTTAACATCATAATACATATTGACTGGGTTATAATAAATACATAATTATTATTAAAATATAATACAGAATAGATACGCGTATAATGTACTATAAAATAAGTTTTAATTTTGAACTCGGTGCTCGCGTTTAATCTCTTTGGCACACGCAGACATTTAAAAATCCTTTTACGTCATCACTTCAGTATCGTTAGATGCAATTAAAAAAAAAAAAACCCCATGTAGATATAACCTATACAAGAATCTTTAGGCGTGAACGAACGATGAAAAGCCCCGGCGGCATAGGTGGGTTAGGGGAGAGGATTTTCGCAATGGTAGCAACTTTTTTTTTATTCCTTCTTTTTTTCCCTTCCTTTTTATTTGTTCACGAGCACACTCGAAACACACTACGGGCGGCTCTCGAACGCCGGAGTTACCAATCCATGATGTATAATATATACTAACGTAGGTACACGGTTTGTGGGATTTATTATGTAAGCCGTTAGTCTCGTTGTCGGTATCGTCACTGTATAGTCGATTCTTATTAAGCGCGTCAAAGAACAGGCCACAGAGATTAAGAGTATAAAAAAGTATAAGTATATGTGACAAAACGAGAAAGAGATCTGCTGCTAAAGTCAAAGGAACCGAGGAGTGTCTTAACGCCCAAAACCTTTAAATGAGTCAAATCCTCACTTGTGATTATTTACAAGATAATACATTACATATTATATAACAATGGTCGAGGAGTAAGTGCCGATTTCTTTGGTACCTATTCCTAATTTAACACCGCGAAGACTGAGATTGTGTAGCCTTCATTCTTTAAACTTAACTGTATACAATAAATAGGAACAATTTTGGCCAATTTTTTAGTGTTAGTGCGTTTTTCAATCAAATTTGAGTTATCGTACAAGTTGTTTTATGACATTGATGGTTACACGGATCCGTTTGAATGTAATCTACTGTCTTGACCAACAAACGACCGTGATTGTGCTAATTATTGACAACTAAAATTGTTTGTTTAGTAAACATTAATAGTTTAGTAATAATTTGTTAAACAGAAATAAGCCGTATTGTCTGGATGTTCCCATTGCTAGCTATACTGAAGTGCATTTGCAAAATTATTTATGAATTCAGAAAATTGATATCAAACATGATAACTACATATTTATGCTGACTATTGCTGGCAAAAATACTAGTGTTATTAATAAATCATCTTTTCGCATTTGCCATTTTTCCAAAATTTCTGTTTTAGTAATATTCTTAAAGTACAGACATTGTACCTAACCTAACATATTTAAATAAAACCAGAGTGTACATTTAATATTTTGGAACTCGCATTTTGAATTTTTTGTGTTTATTTCTATTAAATAGGTAAACATATATATTATCAGTGTTGAAATTGCACAAAGTACTTACATGTAACATGATACCATCTAAAGAGTAATGATTTGTAAGTAGTAAGTATAATATAAATCGTTCAGTTTGGGTAGAGTTTAAATGAAAAAATAAACTGTCCTAATATGCATACATATAGTAGTCTACACCTTGAAGAGTGATGTATATTAAAACGTTTTTTTTTTACAATATATATATATTTCAAACACATTCAGTAAACGCGTAATCGTATATATTTCGAAATGTTGTTTTAGACTATGAAGATTTTTGATCCATACAAGTTGTTCAATTATCTCATTCCACAGCTGATCGTCTTTCTTGGTGTTGTCAAGTAAGCGAACCTTTCGTTATTATGAGCTATTGTATTCACGTTTGCCATTAGGTTGTTTTTTATTCCTAATTTTTTTTTTAATACCCCGACAATAAAAAAAAAAATAGGTATACTAGTTACTCGTGGTGCTATTATCAATGTATATAAATTACATATATAAATAAGGTTGTTTTTTTTTAAATTTAAGCTTACAACTGAGAAGTGCGAATGGCTTGGAGTTCAGAGACATCCTTCCGGAAGACCCTAAACTCTACGACAAGATGAGGCCTCCGAAAAAAGACGGAATGCCGACCACGGTTTATTTCCACGTAACGGTTATGGGCTTAGATTCTATTGACGAAAACGCTATGGTACGCCATAATAAGCAAAAAGGTCGAGTGGGGGTGATTGTATAACAACGAAATTGGTCTTGAATGTAATTGCAAAATTTGTCTCATAAAGATAATAAAAAAATTACTTAAGCTGCCAAGCCAGCTCAAAATTGTAATTTCAATTGAATGTTTTTAAATTTTCACCGTACAATGTTTACAAAACACTTAGTTTTTTATTATTTCAAAAACTAAAATTACATTTACCTCATTTCGTTACAATTTAACCGACTTGACCCATTAATATTTATCTAGTAATCAGTAGGATCGGTTACATGGGAAAATAGCCGAGTACGTGTGAATCGCTTATTCAAGAAAGGAATTGATTCGAAAAATCCAAAATATTTGGAAAACCCGAATAACTATTTAATCTGCAAAATGCAAAGTCTCTTTCTTTTTGCAATAGAAACGTTTAATACTTTTTCAGATTTCCGGGTAGGTATTTATTTTATAAAAAAAAAAAAGAAAGAAAGAAAGTTGAATGAAAAATAAAAAAGTAATTGTAAATAACTTTATTATTGACACATTTAATTATATCATTAATCGAATTATAACCAATTGCAAAAAAATCATATTTTATAGGCTTTAATGCATTGGCTTGTTCCGTTTGATAGTCAAATTTATTTGTCTCACTTTACACATTTTTTTGCCGCCAAACATTAATTTTCACAAAAAATGGTGACTTATTCTCTTTCTTAAACAAGCGTTTCAAGTGTAACAAAATAAATTATAATTTATACATTACTTTTTTTCTACTATATGATTTGCTGTACTATAGTAATAAATCAATTTCTTATAAACCATTTTTAACTAAATTAAATTTTTGATTGTAACGTAAGAACATTTTTAATTTTTCAATTTGAAACCATATTTTGTTGTAGTAATTGTTTTTAAAAAAAATCTTTAACATTTAGTTTATTATATCAATTTTTTGTTTATACTTTTGCTATAACTATTTTGGTACTTGGCCATTTCTTTCCATGATCGTTAATTATTTACATTCAAATTACCAACAAGTGTGTTCATACTTCAATGTAATACATATATTTTTTATCTCCATTAAGACTTACGCTGCAGACATATTTTTCGCTCAAACCTGGAAAGATCACAGACTTCGTCTTCCAGAAAATATGACATCCGAGTACAGGTGACGTTGTCGTTATTTAGCTAATGATTACAAAATGTGTTTTATATACTGAAAAACAGTACATTTAAAATTTGCTCGACCATCCTCGTTGGTTCATAATATGCACGTTACAGATTGCTGGAAGTCGATTGGCTAAAAAACATTTGGAGACCGGATTCTTTTTTCAAAAACGCCAAAGCCGTGACTTTTCAAACCATGACTATTCCCAACCATTACATGTGGCTCTACAAGGACAAAACTATTCTGTACATGGTCAAGTATGTCCGACCAATTATATAATAACGACCCACGACCTTCACGGTTGATTTTGACTTTCAGATTAACTCTAACGTTGTCTTGCGCCATGAACTTTATGATCTACCCTCACGACACTCAGGAATGCAAATTACAAATGGAAAGCCGTGAGTCTATAATAATTTTCCAGTGAACACTACAAACTTACAGTGATTCAATATGATTTCAGTCTCTCACACCACTACCGATATGGTATTCCAGTGGGACCCTCAAATACCATTGGTAGTCGCCGAAAACATTGAGTTACCTCAATTGCAATTAGTAAAAAATCAAACGGCGGATTGCACTCAAGTATACTCTACCGGTACGGTTCGCCTAACATCAATAACATTTCATTTTGACCCCAATATTGGTATTATACGTGTACCTAGTCTTGAAGTATCAAAAAAAACTTATATTTTTGGAAGTGTACATAATTATTATCAAGTCTCCAAAAATATATATGTTTGGTGTCTCTAATTAAATTCACGAGTCTCTCATTAAACCGAACCATCGTTATCCCAATCACAATAATATTATTATATTATGTTTTAGGAAATTTCACTTGTCTGGAAGTGGTGTTCGTTTTGAAACGCAGGCTCGGTTATTATTTGTTTCACACTTACATCCCAACATGTCTTATCGTCATCATGTCGGTAAGTGTTTTTTTTTAAGCTTGTTTCTCAAGAAAACTTGTGTACTGTCAAACTCTGCAATTTGGGACAAAGTGTATTACCCTCGAGGGAACCAGACCTGATTAATATAGATGTATAGCCTATGTTGATTACACCAAGTGAGAGGGATTTTGATTGGTGCACTGACATAATATTGTTGCACTGAATTACTTTGAAGTGTATTCAAAGTAAAAATATTTTAACAAATAGCATTTTACATGTTCGATGTTTGTCAAAAGTTCAAAATCCATTGTTTGTCCTAAGTTCAGAGTTCAGTGTGTTATCTACTCGTTTGTCTGAACCTACGTATGTTAATTGCATTCACCATATCAAATAATTTACAGTGGGTCTCATTTTGGATCAAACCCGAGGCTGCTCCTGCCCGTGTCACCCTTGGCGTCACATCTTTATTGACTCTATCCACTCAACACGCAAAGTCTCAGGCCTCTTTACCTCCGGTTTCTTATTTAAAGGCCGTCGACACGTTTATGTCCGCATGCACCGTGTAAGTGTCCAGTTGCTACTATTTTATTAAGTATATAATAATACATTCCCAGAAAGTAACAATGCTTCGCTCTACATATTTTTTCAATAACAAAAATATACATTCAACGTATCAAGGCTGCCATATTACACTATATTACAGACTATACTATATTATGTTTTAAATTTTATAATGTGTTTCGCACTAAATTAATCACTCCATTGGCCACGTGTGCTTGTTAATTATATTATTACAGTTACAAAAACATACCCAATATGGCATTCAATTAGGGGTTGAAATTATGTTCTGGTATTTTTACCTCTTTGGGTGGCCACTGACCATTTTAGAAGGCTAAAAATTCTAGCTTGTTGTGGCCTATGACAATGTTGAATTTTTACATAAAATATTATTAAGGAAAATATTAATATATTTTACTTTTTAGATTTGTGTTCATGGCACTCATGGAATATTGTCTTGTCAACATAGTTCTCGGCGACGCTGACATCCCGCCTAAAACTTTTTCAAAGAAATCGTTCGATTTTAGTTTCCGAGTAAGTATGTTAACGGCAATTGAACGTCAGGACCAATGTTAGAATTTTTTATGATTCACATAAAAATGATTACAAATTATTGCAAAGGGTAAACTAATTCTCATATTGCTTCCCTTAATTATTATAGATTTGATTTTGAAAACTAGGTAGACATTTATAATAATTATTAATCATCTTAAATAACTTCTACATTTATTTATTATCTATACACAAGTGACAAATCATATATGTATATAATTGAATAAAAGATCATTTTTCATTTAATTACCACTCTAAGACAAACAATTGTGTGAATAATGCCTAACTCTGATTACGTTGGTATGGTATAATTTTAAACAAACGGGGTAAATAATTGACGGCCCAACAAAAGGATTTAATATAATATAATATAGTTCAAACACTGATCAACCTAAAACGAGCGTCCGATATTATTTCCAAGGAGGCACGGCTAATATTATGATATATGTATCCCTTGATCTATTTAATTTTTCTAAAGTCTTATGATTTGCATATGTCTACAGAGTAGCATCAAACCGATTGACGGCCATTCCATCCCACCGCCTCCTCGTCCGCCACCACAAGCCACAGCAGCCGCAGCTGCAGCTTCAACGGCCATTGCTCAAAGAAACCGCGCCAGAGCTTTGCAAATCGACCGTTTCTCCAGAGTTTTCTTCCCACTGTTGTTCGCCATACTCAACATGACTTACTGGATAATATTCGCTCGGTTTTTGTAAACGATCACCTATCCAACGACCACGAGCTAGTTCAAATTAGATTTGTTCATATCACAACAATAGTTATAAAGTATTACAAAAAGGTGTTTCACCGAGGGCTACTCTTTGCTACTTCTTCAGGGCGATAGACAATTTATTTTGAATAATAATTCCTCATGTCGCTGCCTGCACAAGCTTACTTTCAACTAATAATTTATTTTTCAGTCAAACCGCTTCGTTTCAAATAATTAAATTTTTCCTCTCTTCTTTCAACAGGCTCAAACCACCTTAATCTATCTTCTATCTTCTTAATTTATTCTATCTAACTTATGGCACTCTATGGATACATTCGACTCTATGTTCTCATTTCAGTTGCTTCCTTCTTGCTTTCGACTTTCTTAATTTTTTTCTGCTGGCCTCATTACCTGTGAACCGTTTCTTTTAATTATGCATAACATCTTTCTGATAATTATTTGCCTAATTCGACCATACTTTATTGTATTTTCGAAAAACGGTACTTACCTAAGGAAGTAATACAATGAGTAAGCCCTCGCAAAACACTTAACGTGCATTAACTAAACAGACAACTGAATTTCTCTGAGAAAATTTTTAGTAACCATATAGGCATAGTATAAGTGTGCGTAATAATAGTTGGTACTTAGCATACACCTAAATGAACAGATATTACATTAAAAAAAAAATAAAACTTAACGCACGACTACTAAAATAATTTTAAGCCTTTACTGACACTGCGATTGTTCACAAAATATAAATTTGAACTCAAAAACACAATTAGAAAATATTTTATACACAAATGACTATCACGGTACCTACGGGGTACACACATTATAACCGCTAGACATTATACATTTCACTCAAGGCTTTTGTAATGTACTTGTAGTATCCAAAGCAGCAAAAGCAAATTAATATTTTAGAAAGGAGAGTTTTAATTCTAATTAAGGGAATTGTGATGATTTGTGATCAGTTTGCATTTGTGCTAAAAGTTATCAAAATGTCGCTTGACATAAAAACATACCTATATATTATTCGTTTAAAATATTCAAATGCAATTATATTTAATTATTTAAATACTTAATAAATATAGTAAATTGATTCGTACAATTGGTACAACGCTGAGTGACGCGTTTTAGTTTCTGCACTGGTATGTTTCAAAATAGAATAGCGTAATAATTGATTTGTAATTTATGAGTGATTAAACAATTTTCAAAAAAAAAATCGAAATTGTTAAGAAGACTCTTAGAGTTAAAATATTATATACACCCTTTTATAGTTAATTAGAATGATTAAAAATTAAGCAATATATTGCGAAATTTATCTTAAAAGTATTTTACATCATTATTAAAATTATGAAACTAGCGTAGCATTTCTAGTATATTATATTATACACCGTAAAATTAATTTACAATAAGATATCTTATGAAATATTCAAGTATTAGATGAATAAGAAAACGGCACTAAGCCTACTATGTTTTATTATATTACGTACATGGATAATGTTCACATACACTTAAGTATCTATTGAAAATACACAATTCATTATAATGGAAAATTGTTGTTTTTTTTTCTCTGGTCGCCTAGTTATGGATAAGTTAAAATTTCCTTTTCAAACGGTTGACGATATGAAAACAATCTACAGTAATTGGTCGACTCCCGATTGCTTTAAGTGTTAAATTCTTAAGGTGTTCCTCATATTTTTAACTGGTGTACACTGTACATATATACGTTGGTCGTCGTATCGGTGTCAAATAAAAATTGTGTAAAAAGAAAAATATGGTTAGGCCACCTCTAATACCTAAGGAAGACAACACCAGTGAAATTCTTCGAGCAGAAATATTGAAAAATAATTTTATCTACAAACGTCAAGAGCTCCAAAAAGATGCGGTGCCGACGACTTTTAGAAACAATAAAGAGTAAAAAAAAAGATCTATTTATGACCCCGGCCGCCCAGGCTATTACGACCTACTGCTTGGTATTTGCAGATGACTATTAACAACGCATGCACAAGTACTATTAGGCAAAGATTGAATATTGTGCGATCTATTCTTTGATTACTATTGGCTTGCTACAAAAGCAGAAACCACATCTTTATGGTTCAGCAGATGCACTTTTTTGAGAATCTGAACAGCTCTAGAGTAAAATTTCATCCGTTCAAAATCAAAAATCAAGACTTTACCTACATTTTGACGTGTACAATTTTGATTATAAAAAGCGTTGCATTTTATAATTATTTTTCGTGGCTTTAGCTATGCCTGATTTTTTTTTTTAATTGAAAATCACTTATGTCAAAATTTAAGTTAAGTACTGATCTAAGACTGCTCAGCACCTCAAAAAAGTTCATCTTCTGCAACCTTTTTTTTTTACATATTTTAATTGATCCCTTACAATACGGTGATTAAACTTGTGAAACGCTAACTACAGAAAGGGGACCAGTCAATTTTTATCAATTATGATTTTATTAACATTTTAAACTAAGCACACGTAAACGCTTTTGGTTTTTTGTATTTCCTAAAAATTTAGAAAAAGTGAACTTGTCCACTTTCTTTAGTTAGCGATTTAGATATCTTCTAGTGATGTACACTCTCAAGTATTTTCACAGCATTTCGTTTTAAACAATATTGGTTGCACAGGTTGGCAATATCGCGGCTGGAAAAGGAAGAGACCGATTTGGTGACCGACCTGAATGTGGCTTTGCAAAAGTCCAAACTCAAACAGGACCTAAAGCATCAAAAAAACATTATGCATCTCCAGAATCGTCTGGCGCAGGAGTTGGAACGTTTGAAAGACCTCAGAAAGACTAACTTAGAGCTGAACGTTGAAATCCAACGAGTACAAAAAAAAGAACTATCCGATTGGATGAAAAATGAGCATATGGCTCGAAAAATGTCTTCGAAACCTAGAAAGATTTTCGGTGACATAATAGGACAATTTGCTAGCGTTAGTACACAAATCAATTCGAATATATGTAAAGAGATAGAACATATATAGTGCACTTGCTGTGTATTTTTACTGTCAACATTAAAAATGACATAACCGTAACAAATCAAATTCCAATTAGGTACTACAAATTTATTACAAAAATAAAATAGGTACGTTCTTCAAAACGTATTTGGTCGTCGGGACTTTTGCAAAACAAAATAATTACTTAAGAAAATGTAGAACACTACAACTATTTTCAAACTAAAACAGATACAGTAATTTTCAACCGGTGGCAATTATGTTATTTATTTGGATTCCATAGTGCAGGCTACACAGCCTATCCTGTTGCTATCAGCAAAATATTATGTACTATTTTATTTTTGTACAGAAAGCCAGTAGATACAACAATGCCCTGAAAAAGCAAATAACCTTCAGATATGAGTTGGAATCGTTGATGAAAGAGATGTCGCAGAAAAAGGAAGTGTACGAAAAGCTCATGGGCCGGCTGAACAAAGAAAAGAAAGTGGTCAGAGACGTTGCTGATCACGCCATGCGAGCCTATAAAGACAGGTGTAGTAGCACATTTTAAAAGAACTATCTCGGAATTGGCTCAACATTTTGTTACCTTAAGTGTTTGCCCAGGCAAGAGTCTTCAAACCATTTGCAGAAATACAAGGAAACCGCGGCGGCTCAAAAATTAAAGCTCCAAGAAAAAGTCTTGTTAACGGCAAATCATTTCCAAAAGGAGTACAAGCTGACTAACTTTATAATACAAAAATGTAAGTACACATGCGTCCGGTAAAAGTCAGAAAAGTTTTTTTTTAGGGGACAGGTGTTTATTTAATGTAAAATATTTGTAGGGTGTTAGCATTATGAAACTTATAAAATGACTTACTTGTAGGACCAATACTTTCTCCGTAACAAAGTTAGAAAAAAATTGAATAATACCGCCTCGAAAATTACATAAGTACAAATTTAACCAATTAAATTGAACATTAGCTTACAAAAACATAAGAAATATTAATATGTTCAACTTTATTTCAGTGTGAAATGTAGATAATTATGTTTTCATTCTTAGGCAAGCAACATTTATAAAAATCTTTCAAGGACGGATATCACAATACTGGGGCAGTGGCGTAATTAGGAATTTGTCTTAGGGGGGATAGACATTTTTTTACATATAAAATACTAATTATTAAATTTTCAAGTAAAGTGGTGAATGGTAGCTGCGATTATTATTTTATCAAAAATCCTAAAACTAATATCTAAGTATACAAAATTATTAAATTTTGCTTTAAAAATCTACACAATTTAGTACCTATACAATATTATAATACATTCCTCAAAATGTATATATTAAAATTAAATTTTATTTTTAAAATAAAAAATAATTATTAAAATATTAAATTTATTTTGTTTGTATTATAATATAAATTATAATACACATTAGAATGGTTCAAAACAATTTTTTTTTATTATTTTATGTTCTTCTCTTGAGAATATATTATTTGGATGAAAAGATAAATTTTAGATTTTTAAACCCATTCCTAGATGTGGTTCGGGTTGATTTTATATCAAAAGTTTATTTTTTAAATTTTTTTTTTGTTCAATAAAAAAATTCTTCAAAAAAAAAAAATATATATTTTATATAAAAATTATCAACATTAAAAAAGAAATAAAAGTTGATATTCACTTGATAAAAAATTACGAAATTCCTAATGCTACATTTATTTATAAATACTCTCCCCCCCCCCATCAACAGGACATTAGCCTCATGTAATAGTATAATATATTTTATATTGTATTATTGTGCAATATTAGGAACTGCAACTTAAATATTTTGAATATTATTGTATTCGGATACTAAACTTGTATTAGTTATACGACCTAATATTCTATACTAAATGTAGAGTCATTGATTGACCACTCGAACAATAAATAAAAAAATAAAACGCGTTATAATGCTGAACTTTCCTACAGCAAAACGGATTAACTCGAAGGATTGCCAGCTCAAATCCAACAGCGAAGAGGTCGACGAACATGTTAGGAAAATCCGCCAGGGTAACACGACCTTCCTCGAGCACATAAGCCAAATGGGTGGTGAGAAAGATCTCAAAAGCATTACGAAACAAATTAAAAAAATTGTCGTAGACAAAGACAGTTTATTCCGGGTCGTCCTTTTTCTCATCAACCAAGTAAGTGTGCCGTAAGCTACATCAACCGCTATAATATCACGCCTCAGCTACACCATGATTCTATATTGCCGAGGCCCAAAAGTATATAATGAAACTACTGCTCTAGGTTATAATTTAAACATACGTATTTCCTAAATTCCTTAAATGCAAAGGTACAGAAAACTTCCTAGAAATACAGAAAATATCTATTCTACTTGAAAATAAATGGAAACTTAAATCTCTAATTATTTGATTAGAATATTCGATTAAGTTTTGTATTAGCCATAGTTTATTTATACTTAACTTAATTGTTGAATAGACTTTACCATTAGACAATAAGTAGGCTATTTATAAACAATAAGTATATTTAAGAATTTGCCTCTTTAACCCGAAACTGTTAAATATAATGTAATATTCGAGGTTTCCGAATAATTATTGGATTGTCCTTTTTCTGGGTTTTACGAGTAGGGACCCAGTGATGCGATCATCAGACAACTAATCTAATACCCAATAGGTATGCTCTAGTGGCTTTGTCAATAACACACGCTACCCCCGTCTGTCACATAAGACGTCATGTTCTTAACTTGAGGCAGTATCGATTCTTGGAAGAATTCCGGGCGATTGCTGTTCGCGTTATTTTAAGCTACTCCTGTGCATGTCACACCCTTGAACTCGACACCCGGCACCATGAGTCTACTTACGCGAGGCTGTTCACAGCTATTACAGCTCTTGTGTCGTTGGTCCGTCGCAGGTGGACCGTATGGAAGCTCTAATCAAAAAACGGCGGAGCTTGGCCCGGGAAAGTAAACACCAGACGGAAGAGAAGGAAAAGTTCAACGACAAGCAGCTGGATGAGTGGATGAAAACGGTGCGGTGCAACGGGAAACGAATGAAGGAGATCGAGGACTCGGTGCGGTCGAGGGCCAAAGCGTACCGGGAAGTGTGCGCCAAATTGAACCGGCTGTGCGACATGCTCAACATAAACCGGGCTCGCATGGAACGGATGCTAGGCACCAACGATCAGCCGTACGAGGACAACATTACGGTGTTCTTTGAAGAAATGGAAAAGGCTTGCAACCATGTACTGTACGTGGTCAACTGCGTCGAGAACAATTGTGTGTCCGAAAAGTACGAGGAGTCGTTGTCGTCTGATGCCGACTCCACTTATGGTCTCATTGCTAAGGATCACGACGGTATCGAGATCAAAAAAGGTCGTACCATAGTCATGGAGGATCCGAGCATGCTGCCTCTGCGAGCCAAACACTTGAATCCTGGATACATAGCGTCGCCTTGCCCCATGTAACTATCACGATTTTATACGTATAGAAACCGCCAGATTGGACCTAGTTTAGAGTATATTTTAAACCTAGATGCCATTTCTGACCTTTCTATGACTTAACACATAACGGCCATCGTGCCAAATTCAACATAAGATTGAGCATAATTCTGAATTCGAGCGTTCAATTAATTCAATTGGTGCATGCCTTCATAACTTTCATTTCACACGTTCTCGAGTAGCCGGCATGTGTTAATTTTCCTGCGCATCTTTCACTATTTCCATTTACACAGCTCATCTATGTTAGACGTGTACTTATTTTTATGTTAAAATATCGTCATTTTAGCTGCATGGAAAACCGTTTCATGGACGACGACGACTACACCATATTGCGCCTTAATGAAATGGATATCGTGGAGACCACTTGCAGCCAATTGAAACGACCGTTGGGTGTATGTCGTCCTGAGCTGATCAGATATCGAGACTTCGAAAACATCGGTCTTGAAGTAGCGGCTACAATGCACGATAAGGCTGACTGTGTGTTCTCCACTTCCCAACAGATGCCCGGCAAACGAGACCGGTCATAAGCAATCAGTTATCTAGAAAAAAAAACCAACAAAATTTTGATGAATGGTTTTTAATTAAAAAAAATATTGGCGCCTAGTCAATGTCGGTTTATCAACTATAATTAACTACCTACCTAATAATGAGCAGGCGACTTCATACTTGGTGTCATAACGTCACCACAGAATAACTATTATCCTGTGTTGTCACCTGCTACTGATCTAATTATGTTACTTTCGTTTATAAAACTGTGTACCGTCAAAGAAATACCGTTATACCGTTCCCGATCAGAGTATTGTAATGTCACGCCGACGTTCAAGAAACCCGGATAAAGCTTGGGCTCAGCCTTTGTACATATTGTCAAAACTTTATAAATAATTATGTTATTTAGTCAGTCAAAATAGTTTTATAACTGACACTGTTCGAAGAGACTCGGGACAGTAAAATCACAAGTGTAATGTTACAAGACTACAATACAAGTGGTTGCTGGCACATCTGCACCTCCATTAAACCACAGAATAGACTAAATAGTTTTTAGTCTATTCTGTGAATAAACACTAAAGCACTTATAGTTCAGCCTTATGTAATGCCCTGTATTCAGTAACGCAGTAATCAAAAAGGCGAGCGACAGCGTGATCACTTAATATAAAAATAAATACTTTTTTATTATAGGTTTTATACATTGCACAGTATAATCCTTTTCATCTATACAGATTAATAGATGAATTCGAATTTCGAATTACATGTTATAATATGATAGTGTGATAATATTAGTTATTATAATTAGTAAGTCATAATAATATATTCTGGCCACACCGCAGTTCGCCTTTCCGCTTGCTTCATTAATATCTTACTTAGTGGTGATTGGGTTTAATTTTGACGGTCATTTTTAATTATTCTCGTGTGATATATTAAACTTACTAGACGTCTGACAATTTATATGATTACTGGTAGGCACACTTCTTAATCATGCTTTTTCCTGAAATTATCCATAGTCCCTCTATTATTGTCTGGCTCTCTACCGCAAAAACAATATGGCAGTCGGCCTTTTTTTTTACGGCTCATAAGGACCCATTTTTTGAAGTTTCCCTTCTGGTTATTCTGTGCTTATCCGTTTAGACCCTGATAAGAGATTTTTTTTAAGTTAGCGTGGCAACCGATATGCTTTTGGTTTGCTCGTCTTTTATATTATAATTCGTTTTTGAGGAAGTTATGTTCCAATAATTAGATGGCGGTTATAATGGTGTTAAATAATAATATTTACATGTACTGTGAACTCTGTACTACAGAGGTCAATTATCGGGAGTCCAAATTTTAAAAAACGAGTTACGTTTATAAACAAAATATTAATTGAATGATCTTTTTAGAGGTATTTAGACTTAGTCTAATGTTCCATAAATGCATAGATAGATAGAAGTCCATTTATGGTAGTTTAATAATTAAATTTTGTCTTGTCTCCCATGTAAAATTTGTTTTTGTGACTTGCATTATTTGACCTCTGTGGTACAAAACTTCCATCCACCCAGCCTAAATTTTCAGTTACCTCAGAACTTAAAAATGAATACACAACAAATAAATGGTATGCTTATTTAAAGGAAATCTATATAAAAAAAAAGATCACACAGTTAAATAAATTTATTTATATTTAATACTTTTTACCATCTACAGGTTCATATCAAAGCGTCTATTTAAAAATGATTTTATCACTTTCAGTTATAATAATACCCGCAGACCTTTCACATCTCTGTCCTCACTCTGCTCACTTTTATAGTTAGTATTTATAATAAAATTTCATTTTACGTACATTTTTTTTTGTCTAATACAATATAAGCAAATTATTTTACTTGTACATCTTAACTTAATATCTAAGGTTAATATTATTTCAAAACCAGTTATAAAATTGACAAAATACTTATGTATTTACACATTTTTACATAAATATTCAATAATTAAAGTTAATGTCGACTACTTTCTTAGGAGCTTAATACATGGCTCCTATGTTGGTACAAGGCTTTCTAACCAGCCGTTGGCCTACAACAAAGAACACTAAATTATGTCATGATACATTTTATAGTTATATTTTTTTATGACCCGTTTTAACCTTTTAATTGAGTTTTACAAATAAATTATATGAATAATTACAATACCTATTGGCTGATATTTAATGTTCTTATGTAAGCTTAACGTTGGGTTAGATATTTTTAAAAGTATACAAATATCGCAAATGTGTTTCTAAAGTAACACATGTAAAAAAAATAAATATATTTTTGAGTTATTAACTTATTATTTCATAAACAGTTCTCAAATAGAAATCATATTTATAAATTTTGTTTATTTGTTACTTTTAATATTTTAAAAACACACATGCGATATGTCGGTTGATGAACTAACATGTAGGTATCACAATATTGATGTACCAACACGAAATAATATATTAAGATGTAAATTTATTTTAAATAATGTATAATTAACAAAACAAAAACAGAATCATAAGTATCACCTAAATTATAAAAAAAAAATCAACTATTTGAACATAGCATAACAAAAAAGCTAATTGTCAATACAATTTGTATTATATTAACTAATAATTTAATATCAACATATTATGTCAGTCACAATTAAACAAATAATAAAAAAGTTGTTGCCTTTTAGTCCCTTGAACTTAACAATTTGTTGGTTACAAACATAAGAGATTTCTTTAGATAGTATGGAAAAAATGGAAATACAAAAAAAAAAAAAAACTAATGATAATAAATGTTTTACCAAATTATATCATTATTAATTGGTTAAGTTGACAATATTGGACACTGGACTAAATATTGTTCTAATACTGCTCTGTCTCTGCTCCATTCGGTATAAATAGTTTATACATCAGACAAAAATGCAGCTATTTTTTGTCTGATAGAAATCATTTGTTCATTTGGCCTTACTGAAATGGTTTTCATTCTGTAAATAATAGTAAAAATTGTTACAAATATATATAATGTTAAATGGTAAAATCTATTAAATTAACAGTGTTATGCTCCTTGAACTGTATAAAAAAAAATTAAACTAAAAAGTTAGTATGTGAACTATTAATATGACATATGCAATTTAAACGACTCATTTATCAATAAATTAAAATAATTAAAAACATAATTGTTATTATCAAAATATGTAAAAAAGATTTTTTTGTTGAAGATATTTTTTAGTTGGTCAAAATTGTGAGCCTTTTTTTTAATAAATAGGGTCATCCTACACTAAAGCAACTAATATAAAAATCAACATATATTTTAAATACACGTTTGGTATTTTAAATTATTTAAGTAATTTATTTTTTTAAGAATAAAATATTCAATTGCATAAGTTATATAATTATTATTTAAATTATTTATTGCTTTTTACAGCACTGAGCATTGTTAATAATGATTATCTAATTTTATTATTAAACTACATAAAATATCGAAAATTATTACTCACATTTCGTTTTTTAAATTGATTTTTTGTTGATTATTTTTGTATACCATGGATACAATATATTTAGGAAAATTACAGTACTAAAAATAAAGTGTACATTTTAAAATGTGAAATTTGAACGATAAACATAATTTACATTTATACAAATTTATAGCATCGGCAAACTTACCTCTGATGTGACTTTCTTTATGTGCTGAGCTGTCATGATTTTATTAGTAACCAAACTTACAAAGAGTTCGTTTGTTTCTCTAGAAATCTTTTGTGTCGACTCATGGCCAAAAAGGCTACAATGTATTCCTTGAGCAGGTAAAGTACCGAAGTACGATACTAATAATCTGATTTGTGACTTTTGAACGTTTTCTATTGATCCAAAATCCACATAAAACAGCTACCAATCAATAGACAACAATTCACGTTAAAAAATGTTGCAGTTAGTTTGTAACTTAACGAATATCCTTAAGAGTAGTCTTCTTACCCGTACACTGTTTTCATCAATGACCTTCAAGACAACGGCACGATGCCAAAGTACAGACTCTTCGAAAATGCACACACACGGTACGCCCTCTGATATTAAACCTGGTGGAATCTCATAATCATTTTGATTCGAATTATAGAATTCTCTAAAAACATTTATTAGATTAAAACTAGTAAAAACATTTAACTTAAGTATACATTTTAAATATGTAAGTATTCCTAATATACATTTTTAATTTTAAGCCTATTTCCCATACTATTGACAATGTCACCAATTGTCTTAATGAATTCAATTATTATATAGCTTAACAGGCCTTGAAGGCTCAACGCTGCCATCATCAGATGTTTTCTAGACAAATTCGCTATTCAGGACAGGTCCTCAGTCCATTGTCGGAGATAAAACCCAAATCAAATTCCTAAAATTATTATCTATCCTATGTGATGATAATATTGTTTAACTATATGTATCAGATAACAACTACTCAATATCTCTTATGTCTTTAAACCATTGATTGATTTTCTTCTATTATCCAAAATTTCCTTAGACGCACCCGAACTTCAATCCTAGACAGCCATCAATTTTAGGAATCAATCAAATTCTAGTCTATTAACCATGGCTACACAAACCGTTTAAATAAATCATTACGTTGTCTAATCATAATGTAATACTATTTTTTATTTTTACGATTCGTTGACATATATTATAAATTATTTGTATTTATAATGTTATACATAGCTACACTCACTAGTCACTACTTTATATCCTTTATTCGTTAAAATTTAAATTAATTAATAATGAAGAAGCAAAAACAAAAAATTACTCACTGCAAATCATCCATCATTCTGTCTAAATCACTTGCATAAATAGCTAAGTTTACATAAAATGAATAAGGATTGTAAATTTCAGCCATATTTACATTGTGCATTTTTCCTTTTGGTAAACTCAAATGGACAAATTTGAATTTATCATTACAAATTTCTTTACCGAAAGTATTAAAAAATGAATTCTCCTATAAAGGAAAACAACATAACAAATATCAACAACAATAATAATTATATAACTTATAGTAGGATGTTAATCTACTAACGGTCGCGCCACTGGTATTTACACCATCTTTGCTGAAAAAAACGCAATGCGTTAATTTGATTTATGCCAATATAGTTTTTACATTTTCGCATTTCTCTAGTTGATATATTATCGTGTTAATGAATGAAAAAAAAAAATTGCCATGGTAAGATAGGAAGCTGTGTAAACACGACAGAGCGACCGTCAATGGGATTTTCAAAAGCGCGACTGCTTGTAGGATTAAACACAAAGGTTGGTTCATCCAAAAAAACAAGTAAAACATAACATGGATTTTTGTAGTATAATTTACATCGATCACATACCGGTAAAGCAGGACGAATAGGATCATGATTTTCTTCAAATAATTCAGATTTGTCCAAGAAATCAATATAGGCATCAGGATCTTTTGTTATAAGCATATTGTTTTGAATATCAACCATATCACTTAACGATTCAAACATTTGTTTATCAGAGGAAAATCCATATTTTATTGGATCGTTGTAGTTTTTGCCAAACTCTGTCTAAAATAAAAATAAATATATGTACATACTGAACTAATTTAAAACTAACTAAATAATGTAGATTTTTAATTATAATACAAAAACATACGTAATACAGTTGAGTTACTTCGCTGAGAGGAACTCCAAATCGATGTTTGTTGAATAAAACTGATAGATTATATAAAATAGTCTTAGGAATATTTTTTGAGCTTGGTGCAGTATCTTATATTTTACAAACACAAAACAGTTAGTTTTATTTTATAATTTTTTTGAATATTTATCATACCAAATTTATGTTCACTTCGTCTATCTGCATGGAACAGAATGCATTCGTTACTTTCATCTACTATTTCCACATGAAATACCGACGGCAACTTGAGCGCCATATCACTCATACTTTTGAAACCATACTCGTGAAAAGTATATTTACTTTTATACATTTTCTACAAAATAACAATAATAATGATGTTCAATAAGAAAATTGTTTTTTATTAAAAAAATTTAATAAATGTTTTTACATTAATTTAAACATGATTAAATGTTTTTTATTATTAAACTTACTTCATACATATCAATGAACTCATTACTTTTTATACCATCTTTATACTTAGAAAGAAGTGTACGCATTTTATCTTTCATTTTATCACTAATCATATGAGAATCATACTCTTCGAATCTTGAAATATTTGATGTTGAATCGCTAAAAATTGATAATTATATAAAACTCGTTTTTAATGCAATAGAAATACAAAAAAATAGTTTTGTTATTAAAGAATATTAGGCGCTAGTTTCCATTTCCATAAAATAGGTCTGGAAATCACAAAAGGGTAATATTTTCCAACCTCTAATGCAACATTAAGAAGATTCAACAACATTTTTAGTTTGAAAAATGACATTTATTTTTTATTAACTATAATCACTACTACATAGCATGCCGTTACTAACATATATAAGTAAAAGAAAAAACGGTCGTAAATAATTTAAGAAATCAACATGTTATAATGCTATAATAATTTTAAATAAAATTTAAGAAACCTTATTTTCTTTACAATTTTATAATTTTAAATATTAAGTGATTCTTAATAAAAATACCATTTGCCACTAATCAATTCTACAGAATGGGTAGGACTATTTGTTTTTGCCGCGGGTAATGTTGAAGGTATTTTTTCACGTCTTGTTTTTAATTCCATAAATTCAGATACAACTTCTGGTGTTACTTTATCAACAGCTGAAAAAAATACATACATTGAAATCAAAAACAGATTGTGACACAAACAATTATTATTAAAATGCTATCCTATCTTAACTATATTAACCTTCTGTATTCAAAGAGCTATAAATTGTATAGCGTGGCTTGAACAAATATTTATAATTTTAATTGTTATTTATAATATATCAATATTTAATATTTAAGGGGATTAAATACCGGTTATTTCTGTCTACATATATTATATCCACATGAAATCGATGGACCTACTGATATAATAAGGAATCCGAAAACAGATTGAGTTTATAATACAGTGTACTTGAGATCATTTTATTAATTTCTTAAAAATTTTGAATTTTTAATGCTTACTTAGTTTGTTTATTAAACTAAAAATTTGTTTAGAATTTTAAAATCTCATTATGAAGAAATCGCTCAATAAGTTTTAAGATTTAAGGAACACTCGAAAAAATAGTCCCTTATTAATATTAATTACTTACCATATTTAGTAAGCCTTAATCTAATAGAGGTGGTACTTTTTTTCGTTGCTTGTTTTGACGGTTCAGCTAAATTGACAATACTGCTGGTAGAGTACTGGTTTTGTAACTATAAAAAAAATGTATTCATTTTTTAAATAATGTGCTGTATTTAAAAACGTCCGTTTCCCAAACAAATGAGTACAGATGAGGTTTTTGATTTTTCCCGAGATGGAGAAAATATGTATTTATTTCTTTAAAATGGTTGCTGGCCAAAAATGTATTAATAATGGCAAAATGTAGTACAGTGTATACCTAACCAATTAACCACCCGAATTATTAAAAATATATTACAATAGAACTATATTTAAAATTATAATAATTAATACTTTAAAGTGTGCAGGATAAAGGCGGAAAAAATCCATGGCTGTTCTACAAGACAATTTTTGAAAAGGAAATTCAAATCCATGTAATTGTAAAAACTTTTCCAATACGTCGGTTACAGTCAATGGTTTATAACTATTCAATAATATTTTAATTATAGCTTCCTTGTAGTCCATGTCCGTTTTTGGAGAATTCTCGTTTTCTAAATAAAAAATAAAAATTATAAATATAAATTTACCCAGTTTTTAACCTAATCCTATGATACGCTTATTTGCTGAAAACATTTGAAAAAATAATGATGATAAGTTAAAAATAATAAATAATTTTATGTCAAGTATTGGATTTCCCCCCACAAAATTTTATTCTATATTCTCTCATGTGGTAATCCAGTAAAAACAATATCAATAGTTTAAAGAATTACTTACCCTCATTAGATTTATTTTGAATATTATTATTTTTTAATTGAGATTTTACATGTTGAGTAATATTTTTCATGCTGAATGATGTGTTTGTCATTTGACTATTTTGCTTTGAAATTTTATTACTCCCATTAGGTCTTGCCAATCCATTATTTAATTCTGTAACTTTTGTTGAAAATATATTTATTATAGTTCAATACTCACAACAAAAATAATATAGTTTTGTAAAAAAATGTAAACAATGACAAACTCACGGCTTTTAGTTTTTTTAATTTTATGGTTTTCTTGGGATTTAGAGTTTGGTGATACATTTGAACTGTGCTCATCTGAATCTATTTCAAACATATTGGTTATCATTTAATAATAAATACAATAATAACCAAAGAATACAATTTTAATAGAACTATAAATTGATCAATAAATAAGATTAATCTATTCCATAACATTAACTGCTATATTTGTTTTTAATCTTTTTAAATAGATACATAGTACAAGTATAAAGTTAAAATTAAAAATGAAGCTATTCACTTTTGGTGCTTTACAAAATTGAAAGAAAAAAAACTAACTTATTTCAATTAATTTATAAATATTGATTAAAAAATAGTTATATTCTAAAATAAACCTTACTCTCACTGCAAGTACTTTTCTGGAAATCATCACTTTTAGATGAATCATCCATTGGTTTAATCGCTTTTGCTAGAAAGTCTTGTTCTTTCAATTCTTCTCTTAATTCTTCATCATCAATATCATCAAAATCTGGATCGAAATAGTCTGTTTCATTTAGATATTCCTCATCATTAGAAATATTGTTTAGAGATACCGCTCGTATTGTTTTAGGTGTATTTTCATAGGAATTATAACTGTTATTCATCATCGGATTACAACCTAAATTAAAAAAAAATAGATATATTACAGGTAAATATCTATTACTAGCAGATTGTACTCGAATTTGTTTTATATAGTATAATAAAATTGTTTTATAGTACTTACTTTTAAGGTATACATGGCTTCTCTGAATATATATAAAATATTTCAATTTATTTATAGCGTCTTGAACACTAGCTGTATTTATTAGTTTATAATCAGGATGTCTCAGCAAAACTTGCATAAATATATTTAATGGTATACCCTAAATAAAACAAAACAAAATAAATTAAAACCCAACTAACCATAAAAAGTATCACATAAAAATCATTCATCTTACATCTGGCTGTTTTGTGCATTCTATTTCTATGAATTTTTTGAGTCTATCAGAAACAATAGAGTGATAAGACGGATTTGCATAAGTATTTACATGATTGTAGCCACGTGCACTATAACAGTTATAATCTCTTGAAGAATAAGAGAGAGATGAACAAGAATTAAAGTTGCCGTATCTTCTTAAAATTCCAACATTTTTAGGACGACTTTTTTTTCTCTTCTGATTAGTTACAAGTTCCCTCAAGTGTGTGGTTTTTTCATTCACAATAACACTTAATAGAGAATACATGTTTGGATTTGGTGGTAACTAAAAAAAAAAACAATGTTAACATTTGATAACTACAATACAAACTTAACTATACCCTGTTCGCTGAGAGAGCATGCCGCGACCCGACGAAAACTGGCCATTCTGCGCATCCTCGTGCGGCACCCAGTGTGACTAGCGTTCCTCCCGGAGTTCGCCCTGTCTGCCAGCCTTAGTCTTGCTGCTTTGTCTTCAGTCTACATGCGCAAATCCGACATGCTCTCTCAGCGAACAGGGTATAGATATTATTTTATTATTCAAAAATAATGTTTACATAGTGATAATAATCAGACAACACTCTAAATCATATCAAAGCATTTGTTAGTAAATTTATCATTTAAAAATATTCTGCCTTTCTGCCGTATCCCTTCATTGCTAACTTCTCAGAAGTTCAGTAGTTTTAATTTATACTACCCTTATCTGTGTGGCCATTAAAAAAAGTTCTATGATGGAATATTACTAATATTTTAATTTTTATAAACTTACTACCTTTCTCAGGAAAATATTAATGTTTGTGTAATCACTGAAGTTGTTAATAAAGGGCGAGTTTCATTATAACATGTGATGTGTAACGCAAACATATTTTTTTTTAGTCTATGACCTTTTTAGTTCGGTTGGACAACTTTCGCTCTACAAGAGACAAGAGTTGCCATCCTAGGGAAGTGGGTATGGTGGTTTCTCATTGCCTTCCACAAAAAAATATGTAAAATGTTTCTTTCATTCTTAAATTACAGTACAGGACTTTGAAACTAATAGCATTAATAAACTAATACTTTTGGACATTCAGCCATACAGTTTAATAATTTATAAATAAAAGCAAATTATTGAACAAATTATGTTTAAAATTTATATTATTGTAAAAATACACTACATTTGTTATGAAATAAATTTATTTTATGATAATCCAAAATAATATACAAGTCTCTGTACAAGTGAAGATATTTCTCCAATTACATACCAATAATTCATTTAATTTTAAGACAAACACGTTATGTTAAGCTGTTAATAAAACTATTTTGAACACTCACAAAAAAAATGGTGTTATTTATAATTACCAACTTCGTTTTGAGTTTCTTTTTTTTTAATCAATTATAATGTTTAAGTTTAGGAAGCAGTTATTAAGTTCTAATACCATATACCCGTAATACACAAAATCATTTATTACACACTAGTTATATTTTCTAATAATTTCATATATCAAATATACAAATTACCAATAATAATGATAACTGAATTTTAAACTTACTTTTATGACATCGTTCAAATCCTTAAGCAATTCAAAAATTGTTGTATAGCCCAATCGTTTAAATGGTATTGCCTCTCCTTCTAAATTTTTATAATCTGTCATTAACTGCCCCACAGTAATTGAACCAGGCAAACTAGTCATTACACTTCGTACGACTGTTTTGACGTAGTCTATGGTTGTCATTTTAATTCGCTCTGTAACTAACAAATATCCAATTTTGACTTTTAATTATACTTGGTGGTTGGTAATCATTCAATTTAACAAAACAAATTTAAATAGTACAAACTGTTATTATTATCTCAGTCAATAACATTGTAAAATTTATAATAATAATTTAGTAAACCTTTACTTCACAGGCAATGTTTTGAAACTATGTGATTACACAGCGAAGTACTGTGGAAAAAACACAACAGACCCAATCTTGGCACGTACTCATAAATTGCATTAGGCTAGTGTTTTTTTTATTTATAACACATAAACAAATTTAACATCTTATTTCAGAAATAATTGGAAAGCATTATTTATTTTTAACATACCAATGGTTAAAAGGCTAATTAGCGTAATCAATAGTATTTCAAAAAATGAAAAATTGTTCATCCGACACTGTTAAATCTTTTAAACATATATTTCAAAAGTACCAACAAAGAACCTCATAGAAAAAATATATTCTCTTTTTTTTCCATTTACTATACCTAATAATAAAAGAAGTCTGACAACTTTTTTTCACTATTAATGTAATTTAAATTTAATTTGAAGTTTACACAAAAAAACCATTTTTAATCATAGATACGTCCTCTTAATGTAGTAATTGTGTACTTGATACTAAAGGAATCAACTATTGGGTTCGATTCTTACATAGGTTGACTGTACATGTATTATAGTCAAAATAATAACATATACACTAGTGATGGGAATCGGAAAATCCGGATTTTCACAAAAAAACGTTTTTTAAGCTACTTAAAAATCATTTAAGTGTTAAATAATTTTACAATATAAAGCTCTATATCTAAGTAACATTTTTTTGATAATTATGTGAAAATAAAACAAAACACCAAAGAGATAAACTGCTTTTGAATTTTGGATTTGTTGAAATCCGAAAATCCGGAATCCGAAAGCATTTTATAGACAAAGTTAAGAGTTTTTTTTTAAAATTTTTATCAACAAATTTTACTTAGGTACACATCTTTATATTGTAATAGTATTTAACAATTATATGATTTTCAAATGACTTAAAAAGCATTTTTTTGAAAAATCCGGATTTTCGGATTCCCATCACTAATATACACACATGTACATTGGCGCAACAACTTACAATATTGTCTAACTTAGAATATTATCTAACTATTTGTGTATCTTAAAAGTAGTTATCACGAAATTTCAAATGCAACATAATTTAGTGGATAGTGGTTGGTTCATTAAATATTTATTAATTTTGTATGCAACCCGGCAATAGAATATGATGCAATATTATTATTATTATTACAAACTGCTTGCCTATTTTACATAGACCAACATGCACGATAACAAAAAATTGGGATACCAAGTATATGGAAACGGTATATAATATTATAAGTCACTATCAATAAGTGATGACGTATTTTTCATATACGTACTTACTAAAATATAACGCACGATATCACCTTCAAAAATTACGAAATTTGTTAAGTAGCAGCAAAATGTTTACATGTTAATTTAGTAGTTTAACGATTCTAAATTAAACGTTTTATACTAACGCGGTCCTTGCAAAACAATTACTTAAAAAAACAATACATTCAGTTCACTGTTGTCTGTTCCATTAGAAAATCATTCCTCATCAATCATCAGTCACTATCGATACCGATTGTATTGAACAGACAACAGCACGTTTGCCGTTTGGGTTAAAGTTTAAACGCAAAATCAGGCACGACATTTTGTTGTTATCGCAGACACTGTTATCAACGCATAGATATGGACACAATGTAGAGAAGATAAGGTGACACCACTCAACTTCTTATCAGTAAAAATCTGGGGTCGAATGCTTCAGGCATTTTGGTAGTTCAGCTTCGCTGTACAGGTGGCGCCACCATTCGCCCGGAGGCCGATATTTTCTATGCGGCTTATGGACGATAAACGTTTTATTTTTTGTTTTTATGTTAATTATTCTTTATTTGGAGTTTTTATTCAACACAAATTTATCGATATTATCATAGATTAAAATATATACTATGAAAGAAAGTAAATATTTAATCTATGGTATAATCCGTCCAGTTCAACCTGACACTTGGCGACCGTTCCGGGGTCTCTGATTTGTTCAAACAAATGACGTCACAGAGTGTCAAAAACATATCGATATTATAAGTTATAGTTATCGATATTTGGCCCATCTTCAAAAATTGTATTAAAAAAACAATTTGTATTAATCACAATGAAGTCCATAGACCGTAGTGGGATTTGGGAGAATAAATTAACACCCGCTTCGTTGGCGTGTACATCATAGACCTATAAAGATAGGTGTATCTATGGTGTACATGGGTAGATGATCTCCAAAAAGCGAATTCGGGATATTATTCTTATCTATCAGCATTGTCATGTATATAATACTTTCCCGCCGTTTTATGATTTTTTCTTTAAACCAAACGTAGGCGAGTATTATAATTTAATATTTTTTTCGTACAATATTAAATAAAATAATATCTCTATCATTATTGAATATATTCGCTTGCGTAAAATGTTATTTAAATTCCCGTTCTACAATAGAAGGTGAACAAATTTCAAATAAGACAATAAATCTTATTGTTTTGTGTGTTAAATTTGAAATTCGATTTTTTTTATTATAATTGGAATAAGCTTGAAAGCGTAATAATCAAATTAGTGTTCTTTATATTTTTAAGAGAGTACTATTAAAATAATAGCATTAGTTGTACAATCTTCCCACTTTCATGAAATTAATGGCGAATTGGTTAATTATATGTTAGGTAAGTACTATGCCTTTAATTTGTAGTTGTCAAGCTAGGACATCAGAATAATATAAACATGTTGTTGCTTTTCTCTTATTGCTCAACAGATAAATATTTCTTAGGTTTCAAATAAAACAATTGTCATGGATTATATTACTTTGAGATATTTATTTATATATCTATGTAACTTAAAAAGTTTCTTCAACTTACATAAATATATAAATATAAATTGTGGGATATGAAAACGGTTGCAATTTGGTTATGTCTGAGTATGTTTGTACAATAAAAACTATTGTTATTAGTTTGGAATTTAATTTAATAAAATAATTATTTATTTAACCAATATATTACATGAGTTAGAAATAATCAGAATAAATTGAGTATAAAAATATTGATTCTAACTGCCGGGTTTAAAAATATATCTTATTTTTTTTTTTTTTTTTGGTAAATTTATATTGATTGTTTTAAATCATGTTTGCTATATATTTATTTATATATAGATTTATGTTAGGTGAACATAAATTGTCTAAGAATTGTGACCATAATTGACTAGTTTTAGGTAGACTATTAGAATAGATTTAGTTCTTGATGTTGATATAAACATAAAAATACACGTTTTATAAGAAGAAAAAACAAGTTAAAATTGTCATTTATTATTTACTTATTTATAGAAAAAAATTGCTGATCTGGAAACATTGTCCGCGACTGACATTAAACGCCAATGGGCAAAGTTAAAAGAGTCCACATTAACACAGTGTAAAGTGTTATAAGTTAACACATTTGGTTTAAAAAAAAATATATTTATGTGTCAATATAGTATGAGAAACAATTAGGTACCTAAATCAATTTGCAAATGGATAAGTTTACACATTTTAATGTATTTAAATTTTAAAAATCAAAGTTTATTTCTCATGCACCCACAAGTGCAATAGCACTTAACATGTTTGGTCATCATTTACTAGTTGATTCAGTATTGATGAAATCATCCAACTATCTAAATGGACATTATAACTAAGATTGATGAACAATGGCCATTAAAAGCTAGTAGCTACTTTTGGCCAAGTCGTTTTCTAATAAATTTTTATTCAAACCAAACCGTATTATACTGTAGCTTAATTACTCTACAGAATAATCCATGGTTTACCGTTTGGTTTTTTTTACCAAAAAAAAAAACAGATGAAGTAGTTGTTAATAATGAAAAAATACCAGTAAAAATAATTGTAATAAAATGTACTCGTTAAGGAAAAACTTTTTGTTAAAATGTTCATAAAAGATTTAAAATGTGTTATAATTAAGCACCCAGGTGTTTCATTGAGCCGTATACACAAGCCCAAATGGGTATTGTTTTAATAAATGTTACCAAATGTGATTTTATAATATTAAATATATAGTAGTTGTGGCAACAATTACCTATACTACAATAGTGTTAAACTATAATGATCTCTATTGTAAAGATTTGTTTTTGAGTTTATAAATTATTTATTTTGAGAGATTATTACATGAGATATGTACATATACCAAGTAGGTGTAATTTGTATCAGATTTTACTTTTTGAATGTTTTATTAATTATTTCTAAAGATTGTTAACAACATTAACTTTGAATATATGATGTTTTAATATTTTATATAGTTTGTAGTTCTTTTATAAGTTATGTATTTGACTGATAAATTGTGCTGTAAGACTGTAATAAATATAAAAAATCAAATAGAAATCAAAATAAATATATCAATACAAATCAAAATATATATATATAAATAAAAAAATACAAATATGCAATATAAATATAAATAAATAAAATTAATTATAAATATAATATAAAATATATCAAATACAAATCAATCAAGTTTTCATATCAAATAAGTAAATATTTGAAAAATAATTTACTTACGCAAATACAATGTACAAAGTAAAAAAATGGTAAAAACGTACATAAACAAAATTAAATACTTAAATAATGTATAATAACTTAAAAATAAATAAGCATATTAACAATTAAATGTATCTATATTGGTGGACTAATATTACACAAGCCACCAATTATTATCATTATATTATTAGCTAAATGAAGATGTGCCCAAGGAAATTTATGCCGAAATATATTAAAGGTTTTTAATTTTCTTTTCAACCTTTTAGTGTGTATTCTAGTTTTAATAATGTCTTTAAATAAAAGAGCATCTTCTATGTTTAATTGTTTTTGATTCCTTAAAAAGGGAGGCCGAATTATGGTGATATTTCTTTTTTTGCAAATATCATCAATAAGGAACCCTTTTTCTATCATAATAGCATCTGGTGTTTGCATCATTTCAATTACATTACTTTTCTCAAACATAACTTCATCTGATACACCACCCCCCCAAGATTGGCTAATATAGGTTACTAAACCCGTTGGAGAAATCCCTACCAAAAACTTTAAAGTGTAGGTAAATTTAGAATTACTATAACATTGTTTGCGGCATCTTAAACACTTAGGCCTCTGTAAAAACATTTCAGTACAATCTAATACAACTCTGACATTATTAAATTTATCAAAGCGATATGGTGTGTTTGGCATAATTTGTTGCTTGGAAGGCCAATAAATTAATGCTTTAAATATGTGCGCAAGTTGGGGTATCATCAAATTGTAAATTTTACAAGTTTTTGAAGTTAAAACATTAAATAAAATTCCTAAAATAGAAAATGATAAACCTTGTTTAAATTTTAAAAATACCATAATGATACGTTCCTTCAAGCTTAGTCGGTGTTTCCTATTATCGGGAAAATATGTTTTATGTAGTTCTATAATTTCTTCTAAAATTTTAAATGAACGTATGCCTGTCATAGTATTTAGTTTTTTTTCTGTATCTATTAAAGATGTTAGGAGATCACTGCTTGATACTTGCGTTTCTGTATCAGTCATGACTTTAAGTTCCTGGATAATATTTTTGGCAACTATCAAATCATCAGCCACATTGGATTTTAAATTTTCATCAAAATTTTCCATATAATAACACTAGAAATTGGTTTATAAAAGATTTAAAAATAAAACAAATAAGTATAACAAAGTAATTATAATTACTTACATCACACGACTGTGTATCATTATCACTCTTTTGTTTATTTTTCAACTTACGTTGTTTTGGAGTTTTATTTTTTGGTGGAGGTCTTTTCTTCGGTGAAGGAAGTAATACTGAAAATTTTGGTAGATTTTGAGAAGGAATAGCTGTCGGCTTGAGACAGATACGAGTTTTATTTAATCCTAAATTAAAAATTGTATTTTAGTATATCTAGGTTCTCCAAATATAACTAGGTTCAAGTAAATTAAACATCATACCCATTGGGAAGAAATCACATTCATTGAAGTGTTTAGAGCATACTTTTAACTGTTTTTTTTTTAAAGCTTTCTTAGACAGCTTCAATATAATAGCCCACATTCTACGACGATTGATCAATTCTTCAATCCCAATCTTGTTTTTCCATAATACTTTTGGCTCTTTCAAATTTGGAAATTGATGAAAACTCAAATTTGTATTTATAGAATAGTAGGAATTACATCCAAACACGCAGCAATATTTGTTACTTTTTTTTTTATTTGCCATTTTGATTTCTGTAAATATATCTTTTTACTATGAAAATTCAAAAGCCCCAATAATAGTAGTAAATGGTAATTCAATTTGTACTCACCGACGATTTATGATCCAACATAAACAAGTTTCAACAAAAACAATAATAATCTGAAGTCTTGAAACAGAATTCTAGTTTACAATATTCAAAACTAGTTTAAAACCCTGTTCACCATAAAATAATAACACATAATAATATGTAAGCAATCGGAGGCTCAGATTTTGTCCACCAGAGTGCGATTTGTTAGACTGGCACATACAGCGTCCGGGTAGGCGTCCTCCCGTCTATCAGTATAATATGCCATATGGCATAGAGATATAAATAATATATTATATATCCATTAATTATTAAGTAAATATGATCGATAGATTACGAATTATTCCTATAATTGTCTATTGAGCATTTGTCTAAGAATAGTATATATCACTCAACACAATTATTTACCAATTATCGTATAAATATGGGTTTCTTTCTAAAGTGGCTGCACTGAAAATTGCAACCCCCGTGAATCAGCATTTTGATGGGACCACAGTTTAGATACTTTTTAACTTTTATTTTTCATTTAATCTCTGATGGGACGGCTTTTATCACGATTGTAGAGAACGATATAAAAAATTATACTAAATTATATTAAAAATTATTGTAGTTATAATCGTAGATATTATATTATAATCAATCATATTACTCCATGGCATTTGCACACTTTCTCCAGTCATGTAAGATGTTATAATGCGAAACTGGCTCCTTTTTCTGTCTGTGCAAGAAAATTATCCTGCTCACTGCTCAATATTATCTATCAACATTATATCTATTAACATAATATTGACAGCGCTTCCATACCTTACCCGTTCATTCTTAGTATTAAAAGATCTATATCCAAGGTATTATCGTTAATTTATTTAGTCATTGTATTAATAATTATTAATGAATACAAATTTCATTATATTTACTCGGTATAAACGATCTTAGTGTTATTTCAAATACTTTATTAATGTTTTTATTTCTGTTTAGATATTTTCACAATAAACAAAAATTATACTGAAAATGTTAAATAAGTTGACGATACTACAGAAATGCTTTTAAAATGTTTTGTTTTATTTTGGGCTTCCTATAAAATTAAAAACATATCACTTAGGGGCACAATTTTACAGGAAAAATATTTACGAAGTTGCTTAAACCGTAACCTGACAATATTACCAACATCATAATATGTAATGTACGTACTATGCGAACGTTACAAATTTTGTCGGTAATATTTGCAAAACTAAGGGTATAAAACACGTCCAAACCAAAATTTATTTGTATATATTTTTTAACATTACAGCCTTTAGAACATGTAATTGAAAAAGTAGGACTCCAAGGTAATTGCAAAACATATTTTTATGAATTTTATTAACTATTTGTGTACAATTTGTGGTACAGTTTTGTCGCAAGACAATAATAGATTTACATCTTATTATTTTTGCTTTTATAAAAATAAAAAATCTTTTATCTATAATCTTTATGAAAAATTTAATTTCTTACTGAAAATACATGTTTCACAATGTTATAATTTTTTTTAACACAGCAAAAAAAAATGAATGTGACACACGTTTCACGAAATGTTTTTAAAACCCAGTGATTTAGTAAAACACAACCGGGTGCATGATGGCGAAAAACCTTTTTTTGATATTAATGTATTTTATTTATATGCGTTTGTTTATTATATTGCGTAACGATTATCGCCCAGCAATTGGAACGCCCGTGCCCGGAGTCGAACCAGCGTCAATGAGAGCTCATAACACTGCCGCTTTACCGAGTCGGCCATACTGCCTCAACACTGTCAACTGTAAAATCGGTGTGCCTATAGGTACACGGTTTCATAACAGTTGAATTTATTACAAAATACATTTCTTTTGCCAACATGATATAATAATGTTTAATATTTGGATGAGGACAGATGAAATATATTATTTAGTGTCCCTACTTTTTCGTACCACGACGGCTCTCGGGTAACAAACCCTGTACTACAATATAATCGTTTGCTTCAATTACCGATTATCTCTAGCCTCTACCAGCCCAGACCGACAGCTGACGGTAGGATCGCTGCGCACCGACTTTAGCATAGCGGCCATTGTACCCTGCAGGGGTTTTGTCCGATCGATACCGGTGTCCCGGGAAACGACAGAGAGCAAACACCCCAGCATATCAGTACGCTAGTCGCTACTGATTGTGCTCTGGGTCGTACACGGGCTGTTGGTGACCACTGGACGTTGACGAATTCAAACAATCATTACATTGAGCATATTGTCCGTTTAGCTAGCGGTTTTCGAGAATTGGACACGACGATTTTGGCAAGTAACTACTTAGTTGTGCTATTTTAGTGGCCCCCAGTTATTTTTTTCAATAATATTCTATAACACTATCATTGATTATAAAATATATTATTTATTAATACAATAAGTATAAATATTATTTATGATAGTGTTATATAGGTAATTAATAATTTGTGTTACAAAACATACGTAAAATAATCCCATTAGAATAACATTCAATTTTATGGTATACTCTAATGTCGGCAATAATAGAAACTAGACAATTTTCATAGAATAATTTTTTTCGGTGTTTTAAGTTTTTATTGGTACATAATATCGGATTGAAACACCATGGCAGGGATATGATTTTGCTGCTAAAATGACTGTGTGGTCGCTTATCTGGGTATTAGTAATGCTAGGCCAGGCACGGATTCAATGGGGGAAGAGGGAAATACCGTAGGGACGACCCTCTCCCCTTTGTATCATAACATATATAAATATACACTCGGCGCAAGCCGCCGGGTGCCGGTACCGCGTCGCCGCGGCCGCTCGTTCCGCCGAGTGACAGTATACATTTTAAGTGCAATGGGAATGAAATACAAACCTGAAAAGTCATTTTTCAAACAAGTCCGCTACCACGAAAGAGCATTTTCATGTTTCGTTGGTGTACCGAATAAATTTAGAGTAGTGGTGGAATTATAGATAATGAAATAGTATATTAACAAGCTAGTATCTAAGGTGGCTAGTAAACATATCAAGTTTCTAGTTAATATTTTAGTGTTTTCATAATATCTGGCCTAAAACAATTCATAGGAAATATGACCTGTTAAATGATTGAGTTTATTTTTCAGTTATAGTTTGATCGTTGTGAATACAACACATAATTAAAAAAATTAACATCCCCAACCTCTGTTTCACAAATAATATTTTCTTCATATCTAATATGGACCTCTAGATTTTCTATTATTCTGAATGTGTTGTGCATGTTTATTACCATGATCTTCTGCTTTTCTTTTTGAAGCTATATTTATTTTTTGACCTTTGGTGCACAATGATCGTTTTATATCTAATGTGCTCATTTGTACGATCAAAAATGAGACCCACCATATAGATGTTGGCGATAAAGAAAATGTTCAGTTTACACAATCCCAATAAGTTTCATTTTTGCTTTCTGAATATTGTAAGTATAGAAATCCATTATAATTAATTAAAGTGGTCTTATTATTATTACACCTAATGTTAATTAAGAATTTTTTTTAGGGACATTATTTTTTAGGAACATTTCCCCTGTGGACAGTTGGCCTTAAAATGATTAAATTGCTTCACTTTAATCCTAACGTTGGTTAGGTATTTTTAGTTCATGTTAATTGTAAATAATTTAATTAAATATAGTAGTTTGATATAATATAATATTATATTATAGTTAATGATCTGTATTTTTAAATACAATTTTTTTATCAAATTAAAATAATTTCCTTTACAAGGGTGCATAGGATGGTTATAAAGTAGTTGTCATTTAATTTGTTTGAATAATTCAATTAAAATATTTAACTTACTACTTAATAACGAAATTTTAGAGCTGTAATATTTGTAATTTTTCAGGTATAAACCATGAGTACGAATCAAGAAGAAATTTCAGAACACAGTTCGATGTTGAAAGGACTACCGATTCTTGAACTGCAAACATTATTGGAACTATTCGGTCAAAGTAGATTTGGTGAACAGTCTGCCTTACTGGAACGCGCGTTAGAGCTTTTAAGAAATAGACCGGTTGGATTTAACTATCAAGCATATCTAATGAAAATTCAAGAACTGTTTCAATGTATACAGAATCAAAACAATCCATTTATATCAGATGCTGATAGTTATCATCGCCATAATATGATGCACACTTATCAGGAGAACATGATATCCATGAGTAGATTGACTTCTTCTCCGAGATTGTTCTACCCAACAGAGTTAGCCCTACGACTCGACCCACGGGATTATGAATTAATACCATGTTTGCAAAGAAATCAGCCCAACCAACAGAATTCACAACAGTTACCAAGTACTGGGGTGGCACCACGACCAGTGCAAAATATGATGGTTAGACACAGTTCAATCGTTTTAAATAACAACTATCGACAGCCAATCGATTTCAATATTATAACAATGAGTCGACATAATTTTCTAATGAATAATTTACCCACCAGGCCGTACACTCCAATTATTTCTTATGATGATCATTCGATTGACTTGCCTGTTCAATTTAAAAAATTACCTTTCTATGATTACATCGAAGAAGTGTTACAACCGACCACGTTGTGTGGCAGAGAGCAATGCACATTGAAAAATAGTCCAAAAGGTAAAACGGTTAACTACAATTTGTACTTAATATGTTTTTATGATTGGGGCAACTAAAAGGAGAGTTTTATGTTGGAAATTTATTTTAAAGAAAAATATTTCTAATTTGTTTTTACTAAATAAAACAGATTTTATAAATTATACTGTTATACATCATCTGAGGGGTAGAATTAAAATGTTACTCGGGTCAATTTTAATTAAAACCAATATTTTTCTAGTTTTCCATAAGCATAATAATAATTAGCAAAATCATTCAAATTGTTATCTATAAACATTGCAGTGGTAGAATAAACATAAAATAACATTAATTTTCATTTAAAGTTACAATTAGTAAACACAAAATATCTTATTAAAATCAAAAAAATTAATAAAGAATTTGTATTTACTATTTTTTAAATGTATTTATTAAAGTATTTGTCAATATAAGAATACTAATTTACTTTAGAGGCAGAACATAATATATTTTCAAGGAAAGATGCAAAGCAACAACTAACATATTTTGCTCAACTCCCACTATAATATAATTAATATGTTTATAATAAAATGTAGGTATAAATTCATAACTGTTATTGTATTTTTGTTGTCAGGTATGAGAGAGATTACCATCAGAATGCCATTAGCATGTCGTTATGTCAATCAAGTCGCTATGAATCGTATTGTATCTAATGGCGAAACTGAGTATCCGTATCAAATTCAAACTCGTATTTGTGAACTGGCCCCGGGTTCAGAACTTTCTGACTACTTGCCCACAAGTTTATTTATTCGTATCAACGGAAAAGTATTGCCACTACCGCCACTTTGTCCTAACTCTCGCCCAGGACCTGAAGCCAGACGCCTGCCATATCCTCTAAACTTTACTCCGCTTCTTAAACTCAATCCTAATTTGGAAAACATAGCGCGTTTAAACTGGATCCCTGATGGAAAAACTTATATCTTGGGAATAAACTTGGTCGAGAAATTGAGTCCAGATGTTTTGTTGAAAAGACTTTCTGAAAAAGGAGCTAGAAGCACAGAGGAAACAAAAAATGACATAATACAAAAATTGGCAGAAATTGATCCAGAATTATCGACCACTTCTTATCGTGTCTCAATAGTATGTCCGTTGAGTCAAATGAGAATGAAAATTCCAGCCAAGTCTATTAAATGCGATCATTTACAATGTTTCGATGCGAGTACATTTATTTTAATGAATGAGAAAAAACCAAAGTGGATATGTCCGACCTGCAATAATACTTGTCTGTTCGACGACATTCGTATTCAATCGTATTTTTTAGAAATAGTGACCAGCCCGTCCCTTCCTGACACGTGCAAAGAAATTGAAATAATTGCTGATGGCACTTGGAGAGTATTTGATAAAAAAAATAAAACAGAGAACACGGAAACAGCAGCTCGGAAAAAACCTAGGACATCCGTGTACATATACGATAGTGATGACAATAAAAGTGACAAATCAAATGGCGATTCTAAAATATCCAAACCGGATTGTTTAGAGGAGACAAAAAAATCAAATACCTTTATTGATTTAACAACCGAAGACGAAAGAACCATTAGATTAAAAGAATCGGTTGTAAGTGAAGCTAATGATAGTTCTGGACCCTCAACAAGCCGCGGGTGTACAGTCGATTCTACAACTGCAGTAGCTGTGCCAACGACCTGTTCAGACAAAAAGGATTCTGATCCTTTAAATATATAATTAACTAGTCATACTAGTCCAACTTCTTTAATTTCTGAAAAGGTCCCGTTCTTATGGTTTCTGAGTCCTCTCCTAGCCATGCGACTAATGAATCTACTATAAATAAGTAACTACTGTTATCAATAAATAATTTAAAAAAATAGAAAGAACTCATGTTAAAATACACTTTTTAGGTATTTTATTTATTCAAAATCGTATTATTACTTGTTTTTAAAAAGTAAATACAATTATCTATAACAGCAATATAATAAAACATAAGAATTACAATAATACAAATTAAAATAACTAATAATGAGAATAAATTGATTGGTAAATTGTTTTTTGTGTAAAGTAGTACTCGATTTCCGTGAGACGGTTTGATTCTAATTAAATTTATATTTGTTTTATTTCTTCATTTCAACTTTTATATTATACCTATAACCTAATTTTTTTAAACAAATATTTAACTATAGATATAATTTTTGTATTATATAATTTTATAATTGCTAAACATATTTTCTTTTCATTTATGTGTGCGTAATTAAATTTAAACAAATATTGTAAAATTATACTTGAGGCTTTTATAATTAATTTTTTTTTTTTTTAATCGTGGTTCCCGTCAAATCTACTTTATAATAAGTTGTGTACTTTGTTCTATTTTTAAGAAATAATAATTTAACTTGTGTTGTATAATATCGTCGTTTTCAAGTCCAATATATGAAAAATTACATGAAGTATTGACTTGCAAACTTTTTCGGCGAACAAAAGAACCCTTTGTTTTCTCTAGCAGTCATATGCAGATATGCTGCACTTCTTTAGCCAAAAGGGCCAAAAAATCGTTTTCAAAACTACAAGTAGTCTTTAAATAAGAATGTAATTGGCGTACAGTTTTTGGATGTGACAAAGGTAAAAATTGACTATCATGTAAATATTTGTAGGCACTAAGTGAACAATTGTTAAATAATACGAGTAGGCAAATCATTGACCAATTTTCGATATAACGTCAAATTTTTGTGTTTTTAATTTTGAACTTCGAGTTCTTTATCATACTATAGTTGGTCAACTATCTTTAACTTTACCCAGTTTTAATTAAGGTTAAAGTATTTTTGTCATAAGAGTAGGCGTTCTTGAAACCCATCCTGTATTTTTCTTCCCCGCGTTGTAAATAGATTAATAAGTCTTTGACATCTCACACAGTTTTTCTTATCTTTTATAATAATACAGTAATTATTATGCTTCAGCCTCGCAACCGAATCAGGATCACATAAGGCTACAGGAGCTCTTGAAAAGTGTCTACTAAAGAGCCTCCATGATATAGCCATATATTTAACAATAACAACCTTTTCCCAGTAGTTGTGCATTCACACATTTTTTTCTTTAATGAAAATACATTTTACAATATTTCTATTGATCTCTTTGACAATATTAGAAACTATATACTATACTCTATTAGGTTTGTCTCAAAATGGATTTATCAATCCACATTTCAGTTTGCTCTGTCCCTAAACTCTAAAACTCTAAAGAGAAAAAAAATTCGAACAGAGCTGCCTAGTGTCTACAAGTACAGATTAAATAATTACCAAATCTGTGGACTGTGATACAAGTCGGTGTCCATATGATAATTATTTCCCGCTAAAAACTATTTACTGATAAATGATAATATATATGAAAATATATAATATAATGGTATATATAATATAAGTACTAAGGCTACAATTAAAGCTCTCTGGATCCAAAAAACGGTAAAATGTAAATAATTAAATTATTATGTAATGTAAATTATTGTAATTTGTACTAAAGATCTTTGAGATTGATAATGTCATGTTTCGTATCTATGATTATTGACGGGGAATCCGAATCTGTTATCAGTTTTTTTTTCAAAGCCCTCCAAACCGGGTTAGATTAAGCTAAAGCCCTTAGCCTTTTAATTAGTGGTAAGTATTCTTAAAACAGATAAGAATTTAAATTGTTTTTGGGCATTTTCGAGAAAAATATTATATTAATTTTGGATCATTTGAGTTTTGATTTTAACTTGCTTTTATGTTTTGCTGAAAAATTTGAAATTTGTAGTTACGAGGTATTTGTCTAACGATTTTATGTAATAAGAACAGAACATTATTTTCATAACACAGTCGTTTAAAAATCGCAACAAAACTAAAAATTTAACAAGTATTTGGTTGTACAATAATTATTATAACGAAAAAGAGTTACAACACATTTGACTTTCAAAGTAACATTATTTTACATAGTTGTAACTTTAACGTTAAACGTGTTATAATTTATAACTATAAAATGAGGACTACTCTTTTTAATTACATACAATTTTCTGAAAAATTCAGAACATTAACAACTAAAGGAAGTCATTCTTTCCCCATTGAATTCCTCAAATAATTTTGAATTTTGAAAGTGTTCATTTAGCTGTAATTAAGGTTATTAATAACTGTTGAAAAAATAAGTATAATAAAAAAGTAAAGAAACCTACTAACTTGTAAGTAATTAAAATATAAGTAGTTGTAAAACAAATAAGCTCATTAAAAAAAAAAAATTATGTATAAAGGTTTGATTTTAATTTCTTATAGCAACAGAACTATTTTTAAAAAATGCTTTTCAGGGAATAACAATGTACTATTAAAACACTTTTTATATAAACTGATTTTTTATAACAATCAATTTTTTAATGTTTAAATACTTTGCTTGTTACAATAAAGTATTTTACTTGTTTCTTAACTATTTTCAAGCAATGTACCCGACGAGTTCTAAACATTTGATTCAAAATCAAAAATGGGACCTAAGTAATCCTTCCAACTGACCTTTGTGCGATAGTTTAGGTGTACAAGTATTAAACTTGTATTCTCAGACATGTTTAAATGTTAACAAGTAAAAAATATTTTAGATTTTTTTAAAATATATAGTTTGTTTTATTTAGCAACTTAATTTATGTTTTTTATTTCTTCATAGTTCTTAATATTATTTTTATTTACTACATTCTGTAGGCTGCACAAATGCCCACTTTCGTTGCCTAGAAATTTAATGTGTACTAACTTTGCAAAGAGATATTGCAAAAACATACATTCTAGACAGTTAGATCAGAGATTAATACATAGTAGGTTCATTCAAACCCGAACGTTCCGTTGGAAGAAACGCTACTTTGATGAAAATTACATTAAGTGTTGTGACTTTTTGGTAAGTCTTTTTTTTGTTGAAAATAATTTAAAAAAAAAAAAGTTATTTATTTCACAGAGTTATTATAATTTTTACGTGTGTGCCATTAGACTCAAAATCGACTAGTGGTAGGTACAAATGATGGGAATATTAAAGTCTACAACTTGTTCACCGGTCAAAAAGAATTAGTGTTTACTGTACACGATTCCTCTGTCGATAAATTAGAAACAAGCAACAACGGGAAATTGTTGTTATCGTCATCAATGGAGGATGCTGGTACGTCATTATGGTCTATAGATAACAAGTCAATCTCACACAAGTAAATTTTTTTATTTTTTAGTAGTTGTTTGAATATTTTAATTCTTTATTTATTGGTTATTTTTTCTAGATATTTTTTAAACGAAGTAGAATACTGCACCTTTAGTAACCATTGTCAAAATAAATTACTGGGATCTTTAAATGAACTAGCAGTGGTACATAGTTTGGACTACTTTTTGATTTGTCGGTAAATTAAGTGTTTTTTAATATTTTAGATATATGATGTTGAAACTAGTAAAAGACTAATGACGTTAGGCATGGAACCTTCTGACAATGATATATTATTTAATAATAAGCCTGTGTTTGACGCCACTAATAAATTAGTACTATCTGAAGGTGTACTATGGGATGCAACGTCTGGAAAAAGAATTCATAAATTGGCTAAACTTTATAAGTCACAATACCTATCCAACGATATTTTCCACCCAAAAAGAATGGAAGTAAATATAACTATTCTGTTCTACTACTCAATATACAAAATATCTTGAATAAAGAAATGCTAATTTTACCATACATTTTTTTTTTTTGGTTATATTTCATCAACCATATTGAAACTTGCCTAGGAAAGTGAAGCGAGCTAGTTAATGTAAGGTGCATCGAACCTTTAGCTATAAGTTGTATCAATAAAACATAATTATCGCCAATATTTAATTAGATTACAATAGATAGAAATACTGTAAAAGGCATCTTTAAATTTTTTTGTTGACTTTACTAATATTTATAGGTCTAAATGTTGTAATAACGACTATATGATATTGTGATCTGCCTACCTTACCAAATATTTTTTAAACAATTACATTAAAAAAAAAAAAAAAAATTGATAAAATTTGCATCTCTAATTCTGAATAATTTCACTTTTAATTTGTATAATTATTTTCTTAACTATACAGTCTGATTGTTGACAGATTATTTCAAACACAAAAGTATGGGATTTGCGTACATTTCAACTATTGCGTAGCGTCTCGAGTCTTGATGGTTGTAATGTGCTTTTTCCTATAACAGGAGAAGGCATGTATGCTTATCTTACGACAAGGAGAGATAAGCCTACATCATTTAAAACCCTAGACCCTAATGATTACACAACTATTGGTAAGTCAAATCACTTAATTATAGATACTAGATAATTAATAGGTGGTTAAAATAATTCAGCCTGTTTGTACTGTGATAGCTACTGTTAATACGAAGAATGAATCATCTATAAATCATATGGTTTGCAATACCTATGACACACAAATAGCGATTGTTGCACAGAACTATCATGATGGACGTACTATACAAATATACGACGTTGGAAGATCACGAGCGGAAGATGAACCTGTAACTTACAGTGAAATAATAATATAATTATTTATATAATGTACCCATTTAAACAAGGATATGTTATTGGACTGGGGGTCAATCAGAAATTCTGTGCGAGTGCTAAATGTTACCGAGCACATATTTTTTTTTTTGTTTATCAATCCAAAGATTGGTTTTTAACAAATTTTTCACAATAAATGCCTTCTCCATTTTTCTCTGTCATTCGCCATATTCTTGAGCTCCCTGTAGGAAGTAACTCCTGCATCCTGCATTACTTGGCTAACGTATCTCGTCCTAGGTCTGCCTCTTGATCTTGTTCCTTCTATCATTCCTTCAATTATTAAACTATGCAATTCATCCACATGCCTCAACAGATGTCCTATCATCTGCCATCTCCTTTTCTTTATAATGTCTATCAATGTTCGTTTTTCATCTATTGTCCTCAAGATGTCTTCATTTGATCTTCTATCAGTCCAGCTTATTCTCTGCATCCTTCTCCAACACCACATCTCCAGAACTTCTAACATATCTTTCTCTTTTTTATTAATTGTCCAGGTCTCACTTCCATATAATGCCACACTCCAGACGTATGTTTTTATGAGCCGTTTCTTCGTTACTATGTTTATATTTTTTGTTGTTAGCATTTTTTTCTTTTTAAGGAATACATTCTTTGCTTGATCTATCCTGTTTTTTGATTTCCTTGGTTTATTTCCCGTCTTCTATTATAATGCTGCCTAAGAATAAAATTAAAAGTATTTTCAGAATAAAAATAATTGTACTTCATTAAAAAAAATCATAGTGGTTATACGGACCGCAATGCTATAACATATCCATGATTCAATGTTTTTCTGGGGAACGGAGAAAATAACACTTAACACTTTTTTAAATATTTTTTATTAATATTAATTTTGTCATCTATAAATATATAATTGCAGATAGAAGAAGAACAAGTCCAAAGTGATGGGTCAGGGATGGATCTGTCAATAGGTAATGTAAATATTACTAAAATTATTTATATTTACAGTGAAAATTATACTATTAGCGCTTGTCCTGTGTTTAAACTAAAATTTGTCTCGGTTGGCTATCTATAATTTTTATAACCTAATGTTATTATAAATATATATATTTTGTTGCGAATTATTTTTTTATAATTTATTGAGAGGAAATAATTAGAGAACATAACAGGTTAAGGAGGGCCAGCTGTACAAAAACAAATAACATTTATCTCGTGAAATTTAGTAAATTTCGTTTTTTCAATATAATTTAAAAACTATAACTTTTTGAACTATATTACTAGTTTTGGTAGCATTACAAAACATACTGGTATTCGGTAGGTAAATTAATATTTTTAGTTTCCATAACCAGCGTGTTGCTATATTCTCACCTCATAAATATCGTTTTACAACAATTAATCTTCGTTCATCCTGCTTTTCCAGTCGGCCAGACTTCATCGCAACACAATTGTTTTTAAGTATGAGTTTATGAATTATAATAGCAATTTTCACTAATTAAGAAACAACGATAATGGTAATTATGAAAATTGTAAAAGTTATAATAATTTTATTTGTTATGTTTAGGGTCGACGGAAAGTGATTCTGGTTGATATTCTTCCAATTAATTGTTGTATGCTAGTTCGACCAACAGTGATGTCGCCTACTTGCCTGTTTCATACATCTGAGGGTATACAGGATGATTCTTAAAAAGTAATCCAATCAATACTTCATAGGGCCTAATTAATTTAATTTTATAACTTGTTTATTTTTAATTTACTCGTGGTTTCTGTCAAATCTACTTTATAATAAGTTGTGTGCTTTGTTCTATTTTTAAGAAATAATAATTTAACTTGTGTTGTATAATATCGTCTTTTTCAAATCCAATATATGAAAAATTACATGAGTTATTGACTTTTTCGGCGAACAAAAGAATCCTTTGTTTTCTCTAGCAGTCATATGCAGATATGCTGCACTTCTTTAGCCAAAAGGGACCAAAAAATCGTTTTCAAAACTACAAGTAGTCTTTAAATAAGAAAGTAATTGGCGTACAGTTTTTGGATGTGACAAAGGTAAAAGTTGACTAAATGTATTCCTAATTCCATACCTTTTTTTTGCATTTCAAAAGCACCAAGTTAGATTATGTTGTATTTTGTGTTTCAAGAACAAATGATTTATTAAACTTACTGACATTAAAAGTTTTAAATAGCTACATAATCAATAACATCATATAAAAACATTTTTTGATGTCTCTGAACTTACCGTTGAGGTTCTTTTTTAAAAATACGAGTATAACACAATTAACACGCGTATGACTGTGTCAAATTTATTAAGTCGTTTTTTACCATAATATAGGATCAATATAATTAGATTGTTTCTATATTATAATATATTGTGTTGGTTATTCATCATCTATACTAGAATTTTGTTTTAATAATGATAAAACTGCAGGTAGAATTTATTACGGTTCTAATATGAACATCGTTAAGGATGTTCATTTTTTTTTTTAATTTTATTCTTTTTGTAGGTATTTAATAAAACTTACTTTAGACTTTAATTAGTAATTAAATATTAGCACATTTTTACAGGTTATAAAAATAGAAATATTTTATCAAATTAATACTGCTTACAAATATATATTTACAAATCGGTACACAACTCATGCAACATATTGTGTGTAAGTATAGGTAGGCTTTTACAGGTTGGGAAATATGTTATAATAATGTCACGTTTACGTGGGCGTTTCTTGATGCGACTCAAGGCGACATTAGCTATATACTCATAACTTATATACCTACGTACTTGGTATTGGATTTATTCTAATGCAACAACAATAGTATATAGTGTGTGGTGAACAATTGCGGACAATAGTCGACAATTGCACCATCACAGATCATTGAAAAACAATATATTTTATTTCATTAAAGACACGCACAGGACTTTGACATAAATTTAACTGATTTATAAATGATATTATAACTGAGCAAATTGGCTAAGTTATATTTTCAATTACTAAGTACTATACGAACTATGAAGCAAATGTTCGTGTATCGAATTTCGATTTTACATTTATAAATAAATCTAACCGCTATTGAAATAGGCAGGTAGGTTCATTCTGTCAACAAAATCGCCTCTCATGTCAAATATAGTGCCGAATGCAACAATTTTTTAATAACGTACTACACTCACAAAACAAATACATTTGGCTCAAACTATTAAAAATCCTTCAAAAAGGTACCAAAATGTAAAAAATGTGTCAATATTACTGTACACAAATTACCGCCTATTGGTCGTAGTTCAAATTATTGAAACATTTCAAAATAAAATTGTACCATTGAATTTTGTGTTACACAAATTCTTCAATCTAAATTTCTGCAGAGGATAGCATCGTTTAAAAGAAAAAAAATGCACTCGTCAAGGCCCTAAGTATTACCATTATATTTTTTCACGGGGTCTTAAAATTATAACAAGCCCCTTAGGTCCTCAAATCTCTCCCCAGCCTCTCCACTTGTTGTACTGCTGCATGTAGACTAAAGAAAAACCATTGTAACATACAACGTTAAATATTAGATAAAATGTAGTCATTTTTAATTTGCATTTTGCGAATTAACTATATTATATTACGAGCAATTGTCAACCCTAATAATAATGGACAGAAAGTGAAGAGGTAGGTATAATAAGAACCTCGGATGACCATAATATTATAAGCTACACAAATGGCAAGAGACCCTGAACGATGAGAGTCGAGGGGGTTCGAGGTTTCTTTGGGACAGTGTGTAGGTGTACTATTATTATAATAATCGGTGACCCACAAGCCACAAATGTATGATTATAATAATCTGACGAGGCGCATCTGTTGAGCGAACAGGTAAATATATACCTACCTATTTTTTGTTTTTGGTGTAAGTACACCTGTCGTTTAATGTCAACAAAATATATTATAATAGCACTGGGTAAAACGTTTCGGCAGAGTAAAATCTGCATCGGGTAATACTAATAAGTCATAGGTAGACCGACAGCAATCATAATACGCAAGAACCTACTCACGGTCCATTATAATCTTACCATGCAATGATGGCTATCAATTAAAGCGAGAATAGAAACACTTTCGAGTAAAAGCGTTTGAACATGTTTATTTAATAAAAATAATATAATTTGGACGTAGTTTTTTTATCTAAGCGCAGTTTGGTTTATTTTACATACAAAATATACAATATATAAGTAGGGCTCTTAACTGCCTACTCATTGGTCTATGCTGACCAATATTGCCTATTGGTATAAATTATAATATTAATATTGTATGCTGTTGTCGCTCCCATACAGACAGAAAACTTAAAGATGTAATAAAATAAACTAATAACAAAATTATTTATTTATGTACGCATTTTATCTATTTTAATAATCAATTTTGGTTTGAAAAAAATGTTTTTATTTTTCAGAAATATAAAAGATATTTGTTTAATCTAAATTTCTACAACATTTATAAAAGCACAAAATTACACAGTTTTCAAAATGCAAGTTTTAAAAAAAATTAGTTTTTTTTTTAAAACTAGTATGTTTAATAAAAAACGAGAAGAAAACAAATGTTTTAAAAGGCAAATTATAAAAAAATTATAGATTATCTGTTTTGTTCGATCGAACCATTAATAAAATACAAAAAATAATCAATATACTGTTGACATACTGTCTACCAAAAATTAATTTTACATTAAAAAAAACACGATTTTAGGTAAAGAAAACTAGGTAAAAATATATGTTTTAAATTTTAATCGAAGTTACTCTTTAAAACCAGTGAAAGTTTAGTTTAGAAATAGTTTTAGGTAAAAGTAAAGAACTAGTTATGCTTGGAGGGTGATCGGTAAATAGAGTAGAGACATGTCAGAATTATTCCAGAGAACGATGGAAGTGTGGTTGGGCGAGGTGGATAAAGACTACTAGTGGTTTGTTGTGCGACAGAAATGAGGCATTTAGAGTATAAAAAAAAAATGGAAAGGTCAAATGGGGTACAAACGTTAGTAAAAGTTTTAGTGAGCGAGGCTTCCCATGATACAATTAAACCTTGTAGGAAAGCAATAATAAGCTAAAATGAAAATATTGAAATGGACGAGACAAACTATTTTTAGATGGTTTGGGCGTGTTTAAAGAGAGAGTAAATAAAATATTAAAACACCTGAGAGAAATTATAGTTAGAAAGATTAAGCTTAAAAATAAATTTAGCGTAGTTAGTTAATATTTGAACTAAAATGAACATCGGGATTAATTCGTTTTTGTCTATAATGTCTATTGATACAAACTTTTGACTTAATTTTGTACCTATTGAAACTCGTCTATCATTGTGGTGAATTTAAACATTGCTCCAAAAACTATTTGTACTTCAATTGTGTAACACACAAATGGAGATTGGTCAAATATATAATTTAATAAACAGCTTATAAGTAAATTTTAGCTATAATTTAGTTTTTATTCAATCTTATATATTATTTAAGTTCAAAATAAACTATACAGTTTAAAGATCGTAAATTAAATGAAATAATACTAACTATTATAGTATGAAACTATGAAGAGGGTTGAAGAATGATGTTATTATTGAAATAACATAGTAAATTAAAATTCAGTAAGATCTAAGATTTACTAAGATCGTAATTCCAATAATATAAATGCCAGATCATCAACAGTTAGGCGTCAGTCAGACCAGAGTTATTCATGGATTTTTTGCCCAATTCTGGTGTTAGCTTATTAGCTATTATTTATACATGTTTACAATATTTATTGGTATTCAAATAAATATATCGTTCATTGTAAAAGTGAATTTTCTCCTATTGTAATTGAATTTTGAAATAATGAGCTTTTTGTAAATTAATGTGTATGAAAAACAATACAAGTATTGATTCAGTGTTTTCTATTTTTGCATTTATTGGAGATGCTTCTCTTTTATTACGAAAGATATGACTAAACGTGTGACTCCATTAAGCGAAAATATGTATATTATTTAAAAAAATTGTAGTTACACCACTTTTACAACAAACGACCTAAACATCAGTTGACGCATACCTTTTCCGCCTTATATCCAGTTCTATATACATTCTATTATACTGAAGGTCACGCGTGATGACTGTGCGCCGAAAACATCTTTCGCGCACTTATTAAACATAGCAAATGGACATCTGAGTAAAGTTGTGTACAGTTATTGTATATTATATTATTTGCACCCATTATAATAAATCCCGAGCATAACATCGTTGGAGACAACATGAAGGATTTTGTTGATTCATGACGGCCAGGCGATGACACATATATACCTGCCTATGTAAATAAATATGTAATAAAATATTATATAGTACAACAAAAATCGTAGGTTAAGTGAAATTTATGGATTTCATTGAGATTTTGACGTGCGCGGCAGCTGTTAAACAATAGCCAATATCCAAACACGGTTAAGCCCGACTGGGCGGAAGCTTTGGTTGCACGACGGCGGTCATTAATCTGTTTAAACGGACATTGGTGCGCCGAATGGGAACACTATATTATTATATTACCTATGTTATAGCACTGAGATCCGTTTTACCGTTGCGTCATACTTGCAAACGGACTGGTATAGAGCAATAAGGATGTAAGTGGAAACCGTAAAAATGGTTTTACTCGAGGGAGAAACTAGCAAAACAAAAGGTATGTAGGTATCTATATGTGTCCCCCGCATCTCTAACACGTTATACTGGTACTTAATCTACTGCCACGGTTAAGCTAAACTGCCAATTTTTTATTTAAATCGACCGACATTAGCCGATGTACGCCTACACAACATCTTGCGGTTTTGACAAGTGTAAAATATCATTTTTATCTCAACCATTAGATATAATCTCGATCA